CAACATGTTTACCTGGACATTATTGTACTGTATGTCTGTATGTACGTGTCTGCTGCAATGCCTATGAGTAATGTAGCAGGGATATCAGGCCAATAAATGACTCTAGCGTTGAGCTTCCCCAAAACACTGTTGTCCAAATTACATGGTATGATCACTCGTGGTAGGCGGCAACACGTTTCTCAAGACTGTCGCAGCCATTTACCTTCATACTGAGACGAAAGTATGCTAAGAAGAAGGGATGAAAGTAAGCATTAGAAAGTGCCTTTAACTCAAAAAACACTTCTGAAAAGTACTTTGTTTACTTTTTTGTATTACATTTTTGCCAGCCTACAGTTACAGTTTATGTGATTCACTTACTGATATGTGTAAGATTAGCTCACTGATTCATGCTATAATTAACTTTTGGGAAGATGCATAAAAAAAACCAAAAGCTGATTTGGCCCGAAGCTATGGAAAACTGGAAAAAAAACAGTTATGACAATTCTATTTTTAAAGCAACACAGCTTAACACACTGCGAGTGTATATAGACAAAAGTAGTGGAAAGACAACTTTCACTGATAATATATTCAGAACATGCTGCAACATACAACTGTGTGCAAAAGTTTGAACACCCCAGTCAAATTACGTTCTGCTGATTTTCTAAGTGAAACACATCCTCTACAGGGAACAAAGGTAAATATGCCATTTTTCTGATCATTTTAGTGCACAGTTTCTATTTACTTGCTGAGTGTAACAGATTGTAAATAAATAATTAAATAAATAAACTAAAAATGTGCCGTAACTTTTGCACACAGCAAATTTTGTGTACTATTTTTTCCCCTAAATTTTCAAGTTTAGCAAATAAACGGTGAAGTACATTCCTTGTAGAGAATGTGTACTTACTTTCAACAAAACAACGAGACCGAGGTCCCCAAACTTTTGCATGTGACTGTAGATACAGTAAAAAAAACTTGTTAATTCAGTAAAACAAAAGCCCTTAATAATATTAAACAAGTAATGAAGGTTTTGCCTTGAGAATCTTCTCTTGTTGTTTATTAAGCAGGGTACATTTCGTGCAAGCAAGTGTTTGATCCTACATAATCAACCTTTCCTGCATAATCAATGCAACCACGGGACTTGTAAATTGCAAATACCACCACATAATGTTTTGATGAATTGATTGGTATAATTATATTGATTAATATAAAGAGAAAAAAAAACAACCACATGAGCTACTGTGAGGCGTTGCTTGAAGATTCTTGATTAATGTTTGAAATCAATTTCTGCATTAACTGTAATGATGATTAAATGCATTTCCACATTGAGTCTCACGTATAAGACCTTGTGATGTAAGTAACTACAATATTTATGGCTACGTGGTTGTTAAGGAAGGTTAGAACAATGGAGGACTCTGTGGGGGTTTCGAGAAAGCAGTGAGAGGCCTTGCTGAAAGACTGTTTTGATAGCGGTGGGTAACTTAGGCAGCAGCTGTAGGGCATACTTTGAAACTCTACATGTCTCTGCAGTAAAATTACAGGCAGGAAGGACTTAAAAGATTGCCAGTGGATGAGGTTGCTTAGAACATTTGATTAGCATTACAGGTCTATCAGGTAGCACAACGGCAATGTAAATCAGGTAATGGACGCAGATGTGTCTGCAGGTTAGATTTTATGGTCTTGTTGAGCGTAGCGGTTCTGCCCTTTCAACGACTAATTCATGTCGAGAAGGGTTTTAAATTCTAAAACACGAACCAAATTCATCTGCAATGCTTTTACCATCAAACCTTAAACAAGACACGAATATAAAGGTTCATTTACTTTCCAAAAATCATATTCTCACCTGTGCATGATATATATAGCACTGTGCAAAAGTCAGTGATCATCCTTTGTTTTTTCAATTTCCAGTCAAAGTGACCATTAAGTATAAGTTATTCATTTTTCAGGAGATATTTATGAGGAGATATAAGACAATCCACTTGCATAAAGAAAGGAAAACTCAAAATAAAGTGTTTCTGTCCATCCGTCCACTCTGAGAAGACAACTGAAGACAACATAATTTGCAAATGAAACATAGAAGCTGCTGGTCTTGTCAGAAGAATGGACTGTCCACCCCAGAATCCAGACAACATCACTGAATTTCTTTGGGTTTATTGGATCATGAGAAGCAGAGAATGCAACCAACTTCTAAGACTGAACTTTAGAGGTGTGGAAAAATATCCCTGCAGATTTATATGAAATAATCAAAGCAAGTCTCCCAAAAAGCATGGAAGCTGTAATGAAGGCATGTGGACACACAAAATACAGAAAACATGACATTATTTATTATATTTATATATTTTTATATTTATTTATATTTATTATATTTCATGAATGAAAATGAGTAAATGTATTTAATGGCCAAATAAATGTGCTTAATGGCCGTTTTGAAATGAACAGAATAAAGGGTAGTCTCTGACTTTTGCACTGCACTATATATTAAGTTGCTTTTCTGTAAGTAATACATGGTTTAAATATATAAAACAATTTACATGCTGCTGTCTTTGCTACAATTAATTCTCAGATGACCAGAACAAGTGAAAAATTAAACTTTGAGTTTATTAAAGAACCGAACTGCTAAGTTTGTCACAAAATGGCTGAAATACTGTAATATGAGTGCGCTGTCTAACAGTTCTGATGATCCTAAGACTACTTGCTTGAGGGAAATCACTCTGCACTAGATAAGGACAGGTTAATTCCAAATGAGTTCTGACACGATGACTGGAATAACAAGTTATTTAAAAGTAGGATTCTGACTTCTATACATACACACACATATTTGTGGACATGATATGTGTGGAGATAATGTATGCTGTCATTTAAAATGTGCAATGCCATCATTCCCTGTTACACTAAGATCATTAGATACTCTATACATTACTGTTTATTCCCCATATCGTAGGGACATTCTGCCAGTAGTAGACAGACTGGGTTAAAACCGTACTCAAATAAAAATACTGAAATAATGACTCAAGAAGTGAAAATAAAGTTTGGCACTATTCTCCTCTTTTGGGTATACTGTGTGCTGTGTATCCAGGTGCTGTCACCAAAATAACAAAATGAAATTCAACTCTAAAATGAATTAGGAGCTAAATGTGAATGACTAAAATGAAATAAATATGCAAACAGCAAGAGGAACAGTAAATAGTAGATTCTCTTCCTCACAAACATGTGCATATACATAAAAATAGTCCAACAAAGGGGCCATAACCTATATTTTCTGAGGTCCACCGTAATTTCTTCATTTTATGTACCATAACCAATCATAGTTCATTTTTATATGACCATTTTACAACCTTTGCTTATCCTTAAAAAAAAGTAAACAGGCTGTTTTTGTTACTGTGCCTTTAAGACTGATACATGTGCATAATCTCTGTTCTGCTCTCTGTTCCTGCTGAAACACTCCTTATAACTTTGGTATGAATGGGCGGGGCTAAACTGATGCATATATAAAAAGTGTATATATGTAAATGCATTATGTTTTGTGATCTCGCAAAAACAACAAATACAAAACAGATTGTTTTTGCAGCTTAGTTTCCGTATGTGGATGTACATCAAACTACTGCATTACGCCAAATTCTTTTGAAACTCTTAGGGAACCTTGACTTATAGAACTTGTGTGCTGTAAAAAAGTTTGCATGCCCAATTCTATTAAAACATTAAGTATAATCTAAATGGAAATGTTTCATTTACTATAAAAACATGACAAATAGGCAAAATCCTTCTACTAGTAGGTCGCCATTGTCATACTGTGATGATGTCATATGGTTGCAGTGGAGTCAGTGCTACAGAAAATAAGGCAAAAAGTTTTAGTTATGAGTTATATGACATGTTTATCTCACTGTCCCTTTATCAGTGTGCAAGAAAGTGATTAAGTGACCCTTATTAGTCCCACAACGGGGAAATTTCACCGCTGCATTTAACCCATCCGTGAAGTGAAACACCACATACACACTAGTGAGCACACACACACTAGGGGGCAGTGAGCACACTTGCCCAGGGCGGTGGGCAGCCCTATCCACAGCGCCCGGGGAGCAGTTGGGGGTTGGGTCCCTTGCTCAGGGACACCTCAGGCACGCACTGTCGGCTCTGGGGATCGAGCCGGCGACTTTCCGGTTACAGGGCCGGTTCCCTAACCTCCAGCCCATGACCGCCCCCCAGAGAAAAGAGAGCAACCATTTGATGCCTCAGTAAAAATGGCAACCTATTACCAGGGCAATGTTGTCTATATTTAATAATAAATAAAGTTTTGCTTATACATATACATTTACAATATATTTCAACAGTACTGGCCATGTACACCATATTGAGGCTCGCATGTCTTAACAGTCAGGTTACCCTTTAAAAAGCTGGGAAAATTGGGAAAAGTTTTCCAAGATTTAGGCTCTTTAACATGTGAACTGACATTTTGGTGCAGGGTGCTGAGTAACTGCAGTTACTGCCCACCTCTTCATTTTGCATTACTGAAAGATGAAGTGTCTCAACCGCGGTGAGTCACAGGAACCACCATCTCAAGCAGACACCATTCATCATTTCGCCGTTATCCATCTATAACTGTGACTACAATGTAAATCGAGCGCAAACAGAAGAGTCAACGCCCGCATTAACCCGCTCAGTTATTACCACCTCAACTACGTTCACGCTCTTTGAAACTTTGGGCCCTCACGTCCTTCCCCAACGTATCGCGACAACAGTGGGCGGGCTGTAGCACAGCGTTAGACGACCACTCCCTGGCCTTTTTTTTTTAAACCCACCCGTTTTCCGACAAAGCCCCGCCCCTCTTCGCTGGGCTCGGCTAGTAGCTCACACTCACTGTAGCGGCGGTCTGCTTGGAAGTGTGTACTGTTAGCCAATCTGTAGCGCGTGTGGGCGGGGCTTTTCGCAAAGCGGGTGGGGAAAAAAGAAAAAACAACGCCTCCCTGCCACACCGTTCCCTCCCCAACCCTCTTTCCTCCTGAAGATCCCTGCCCTGCCCTGCACTCAGCCATTCTCCATAGCCCCAAGTTACGACCGCACAGCGAAAAAGTGAGAGGGAGAGAGAGAGCAGAAGTCAGAAAGGCTTTCAAGCCTTGTGAGAAAAAAGAGAGAGAGAGAGAAAGTAAGTTCTCAAAGAACAAGTTTCAGACAGCAGTGGGGGAGAAAACTTTTCGGGGGCTGTGGCAGAAAAGACGTGGCCGGCTGAGGATGCTCATGCCGAGGTGTTAAAGTTTTGGAAGCAGGATCTGCTCCAGGTAAGAAAATGCTTTCTTTTCATCCCTCAAAGTCTGCAGCCTAGTCCTTGCAATTCGCAGCTATTTCATTGTTCCCTGGTGTAACGCAGCGTCTGAAACTGTTAAGACCATAATTACCAAACTTGTAGTGCGCTCTGATAGTTTTTCTCTCTTAAATGCGCGTTTGTGACGCCCCTCTAAGTGAAGACCAGAGGGAACAGGGAACATGAGGAGAGGTGGTGGTGGGTGTGTATCTGGTTGCACAATTGACATCTTTGTTACGCACTATTGTCTTGAGACTATCATAGTCGGATTATAAAAGTTCAAAGCTTTCTTACTCTGTAAATGGAGCAGTGATCAACTCTAATAGTTGCCTATGCTGTGGCACAAGCAGCGCCTGCGAAGTGCTGAAAGCCTGTCTTGCGTATTAAGAAAGGCAGAGCGGACTAATTGTAAGGAAAGTGTTCTGATGCTTTTGCATGCTATGCAAAGTATATCCCCACACCCTAGATGTTGTTAGAAAAAGCCCCAGTTGAGTTTGGCTGTGCAACGTGGATAAGCTCGGTGTGTGTGTGTGTGTGTGTGTGTGTACGCACGCACACACTCAGCAGGAGCTGGAAACGCACGAAAACTTTTTCGTGAGGGAGAAAAGTTTTCCACCCTCATGGAAGTCTCTGTTGAAGCTTGTGGTCTATTTCTTTTTATGGGAATGCTGCTAATAAGAGATTACTGTATTACTGTATTGCTGCCATGCTTGCGTTTTTGAGTTTCTCCTCATAATCTGTTATGGGATTCCATGCCCTACCAAATGTGGTCACAGAGGATTTGGGCAACGTCAGCAGATATTCCTCGGCATGGCTTTAGAAATGGAAAAAAAAGGTAAAATAGTTTTCTGGTGCTTGAAGCCTTTGTGAAGAGTTTGTACGGTCCACAGTGAAGTTGGGATGGGCTGTTTAATTAAAACAAACTGAAGAGCTCTGAAGTGGAGCTTAAATGGACTGAAATGGGTGGAGTTTGGTAAATTCTCCATTTTTTCCCCCTCGATTTTCTTAACCTGGGAGTCTGGCCAGGGTGTGGAGAGTGAGCAAGAGGGGGATGGTGTTGGGGTGGGGGGTGATGGAATGTAGTGGTTTGGAAAGACTTACTAATTGAAACCAGGTCTGAAGCACAAGAGGGAAAAGTACTGCTCGCTAGATGACAAAAATGTTTTATTCACGCTCGGCTCTTATTTAACTCGAGTTTTTTTTTAGGATAGAAAGGCTATCCTAACTTAAAGTACTCTGAGAAAACTTTGAGGTATGTCTCAGAGGGTGGGGGGAAAAACAGACAGAAAGAGGTGGAGTTCACCTCTCTTTTGGAAAATGTAGAGATTATCCAGCCTGGACTTTCCCCCAAAATCTTTTCTTAAATCTCGATTTAGTGATTATATACATGGATAGACATGGCAGCTGAGGAACTGCGCATTTAGATCCCATCCCCCTCTCCTGCCACACCCTTCCCGCTCCTTTTTTTGGTAGTCAACTGTATCACTATATGACAGAGGACATCAACATGATGGGCTGATAGAGCCTGTGAAGATGAAGTACAGCCCTTTGAAAGTGTTGCACATTCTGTTCCAGGCTGTTTTTATGTTGCAAAAAATCAGCGATAGCAAAAGTCAGGATCTGTCAAGGTCCGCCAGCGTATTATGGTTCATCCTTGATTGTCTTGAGGTTGTTGCGTGTTTGTGTTTCAGAGGAGCACAGGATGAGGGATCTGCTACAGGATTTGTACATGTTAAATAGGCTACACTGTATGTTGAGTGTTGAAGCATCATTGGTAAAAGCAACTAGTTTCAGCAGGAGGCACCACTTTCTCCTGTGAAGTGTTGATAGTATAGATAGGAGGGGTGCCTCCGAGGAGTTTGCTATGCCAGTGTGAAACGGAAAGAGTTTGGACTCGCGCACACTTCCTCTGTCATTTCCTTACAGGCTTGTAAAGGGTTGTGCCATTTACACCAAATGGAGAACAGTTGGAAGGAGGAACAGCCCTCTTAACAACTAAGTGTTATATTTATTGTCTGTCTGTTTTCTCACCTGTAATCTTGCATTGTTTCTGATTCAGCAGCCTCTTGATAAAGAGTTAAATGAGAGCATTCATATGCAGTTATCTATAAAGTTGTTTGTTTAGATTATCCATCACAGATAAGCAAGAGCCACAGATGTGAAACTGTTGAAAAAGGAAAAAAAAACCTGAATGAGGCACTTATGACTGTGGAATAAGAAGCAATGATCTTTTTCTTTTGAGGCATTCCTGTATTGGAAACCTCTGCCTTTGTTGCATTATTTCGCTTTGTTTCAGCTTGTCCAAACTAAGCCAGGGGTTGAGAAATACTGACTCTGGAAGTTAGGTTGAGCAAAAAGCCAAGCTCCTGCCAACATCCCAGTGACTCAGAGCCACACGTTGATTTTTCATCATTTTCCATGTGACTGGATTCTGTTGTCGGCAATAGTCCGGTGAATGCAATGTGGAATGCATTTTTTTTATATCCTTTTATATTTTTTTAAGGTTTATTAAAAACATCAAATGAGCAAATTTTCCAACATGTGAATGACTGTCTTTATCACTCCTGACTTTAGAAAGAACCGTGAATATTATCATTTATTTTTTTATCTAGGCCAAGCAAAAGTATGCCATTGCTTTTAAGTGCTATGGTTCTTTGCATAGTGAAATGGTTCTTTAGATTAATGGAGAATGTGCTGTATATGGTTGTATATGTAACCTTTTTGAAAAAGATTCAATATACCATCAAATAGGATTCTTCTGTTGTTACGATGTCAAACTTGTAACAATAGAAGAACCCTTTTTGGTGCTATTTTCAAAAAGGTTCTTACATAAGCATGTCAATGGTTCTTTGAGTGTTCATGGTTCTATAGAGAACCATTGTCTTTAGTAAAGAACGTGTGGCGATGGGTGAGAAGTATACATTTCTGAGTGTATCTCTTACAAGAACAAACTTGACGAAAAGATTATAATGACTCTGAGCGCTTCATGTTCACTCAAGATATGTGAGTGTTAAAGATGATCCTCAGGAGCAGAACAGATCTTTCTCAACTTAGATGTTAATACTTGCCCAATTTATTGACTGAACTGTTACAACAAGCTAAACGAGGGCTCTAGAGAAGAGATCCCATAATATGAATCTTGTATTCGTTGTATTTTCATGGGCATTTATCTTAAGTTTGTCTTTCAAACTGTTCCTTAAAAAAAAACACAGGAATGTGCAGAATTAATGACATCTTTATCTAAAACCAATAGCATGGCAAGTGAAACTAGGCATGAACTGACATGTATACCACCTTTCTTTGTTCTTCACACACATTGCGGTAACACACAAAGTTGCACTTACATAGCATGCTCTATGTCAAGCACTGAGCAGTCCAGTCTCAGTCTGATTCTACAAATATGGATTATATTCTTATTTATTATCAGTATACATTACATAGGGATTAAATTGGTTGTGTTAATAGTAATGTGCGATAGTATCCAGTAATTAAGCTTTATAGGCATACTCTTTGGCATATTTGTGTATTTTGTCTTGTTATTTTTTTTAATTAATTGAGAAAGACATGAGTCATTTCGGACCTTTAGACTACACCCAAATCTTTCACAGCGGTATTACAAAGCAAGCAGTAAATCCTGGCAAAAGTGCGGCCAAAACACCTAACCCATAGATGATGACTGAATGACTGACTGTGTCAACCTAAGCCTGGTTACATGATAAGTGGAAGCCTTGTTGAGCTGTATAGTTTTTTTTTCTATAATACGTTTTGACTTTTCAACTTTGCTTCTCAAGATTACTTAATATAATCATTGTTCATAGTGATCAAAAGAAAAAAGACTCAACTACACCACCTAACCAGTTTAGCCACTTAACTTTTCTGCCGCTGAATCCTCCCACTCCTCCCTTTTATCTTGCATATCTAAACCTTAACTGCCAGTGTCAATGTCCATCTGTAGGCTGCAACATTTTCATTTCTTCAGCATGTTGTTCATTATCTATAAAACTACTCCATGAAAGAGCATCCCAGAATTTTTTTATTTTTTAGAATTTGGATCATGATTCCACCGATTGCTTCAGTACACACACTGTATGCTTTCACTTATTTTTTTTGTCTTTCTCTATCTCTGCAGAGCGTACAATAATTCGGTTGAAGTTCTTTGGCCGAATGTGGCTTTTCAGTTGAATCCATCTGGATGGGAAGATGGAACATTTTACCACTTAGTAGTTATCACTGATTTTCCATAAGTGAGTCAGCCCTTGTCTGAAGTCAGTTGTGCTGCAGCATAACCCCAATATGCACAGTGATTAATGAAGTACTTGTGAAGAACATTTGTGCTTGTCAAAGGCCACAACTGCTTGATTTATTGACTTTTGTGTTGTCTGAAGGCTAACTTGGCATGTGCAAACTCCTCCAATTAAACAGTACAACTGTTTAATTAAAACAACAGGCCGCAAAGACTGAGCATGGATATCTTGTGTTATAAACCAGTTTTTGTGTTTTTTCGTTGGTGGGAGGAGGTTTGGGAACGGATTGTAATTATGATAGATGGTTATGGGAAACCTCGCTGAAATACTGATGTCTCGCCAAAACGTTTTTGTTGCTCAGTGGCTTTGTATGTTATTTGGGTTTAGTGAGAGATTATATTCTACTTTTACTTAAAGTTTCTCAGGTGCTTTTATAAATATGGGAAGTTATCGTCCCAGTGATTTTGTCTTCATTGGATAGCAATCAGTAAAAAGTAATAAAATTGGTATCCTGTTTTTGTGGTACAGACACAGTGGGTGAACAGAGTGTAGGACATTGCTTTGGAGTTAGTCACTGCAGGAGAGGCCGGGCACTCTTCCAGCTGGCCTGACGGCTCTATCAAGGAATGTGTGTGACTGGAGGCCAGGGTGGGGCCCACTGTGCTTTACTCTGTGAGCATAGGAGATGGCAAGCCCATTGCTGCTCTCTTGTTCAACATAGGGTGTGGTCTGTACTTTAGATGCAGTATGCAACGACTAGGATGTACTTGGATGTAACTAGGATGTAACATGCTAGAAGATTGTTGAAATTTACCACTGTTTTGCCATGAAACGCCTGAGCATTGTAACTTTTGCTTTTATTTTACATACAACATTTGTTTACCACTGCTCTGGTCCATTCAATTCCAGATATTTTGCAAAAGGAAGTCACTCCTTAGCAAGGTGACAGCAGAACTAATAGAAATCAGTAGAAGTCTCATGGATGTCACTCTTTAGAGTGTACACAGCTGCTCTGCCACGCATTGTTCTGTGCAAACACAGTGACAAGCACATCCAGGCTGGCCTTTATTGCCACTGGTCCATGTCTATTTCAGTCACAGCTCAGAAATAACTAGCTGTATAATGAAACAACAGGGCAGTGAGAGGTTCTGGCTAAGTTTTCATAATCATAGCTCATAATGAGCTATGGGCAGTTGAGAAGAACATGCTTCCCTGCTGTTTATGAACAGTTCGGTATTATTGATACCACCAACACAGACTTGTCAAGTCCTCCTCCTCCCTCTGCCGTTTGAGGTGAGTTAGACACCAAGGAAATAAGCTTTAATTACAGATCTTTAGCCAAGATTTTTAGGATTATTGCGATTTTGAAAATGAAATAACCCCCAAATGGGAAAGTGCACCTATTGAAAGATCTTAATCAGCATTTCCGTTGACTTTATATTAAGGTGACTGTGCAGCTCATGAAGACAGGGTATCACTTTATTTACAGTGTTGCTGTAAATTGCTGTTTTCTTGGAGACCTGAATGGTCATTAAGAGTTAAAAGTTAAACCACACTGAAGAGACATAATTACAGTTGTTCTGCAACACTTTCTAGGGCAGGTCTACACTGGCAGATACCTGTCTGTACTGACTCCAGCATTTCTTTTCAGTGTCAATAAAGTTTTCCCCCTTTAACTGCCCCAGGCACTCGTCTTGAAAAGGCGCTGGTCTTGGAAGGGGAATGAAGCCTTCCTGAAAAAAAAGGCTCAGTTTCTCAGAGCTTTAAAGACACTTTCTTCTTGCTACGTGTTACTCAGTGTTATAGACTCAATGATGAAAATGTTTACAAGGAGCTTTAAGAGTTAAACTCTTGTGAATTAATAGAAATGTTGTCATAGTCGTAGTACACGTGATGTTGTGCAAAGACAAACCTCAACACTTTGCATTGTTCAACTTGAATTGCTTTAGTTTATGACTTAGCAGTACTATATCAAGACCATAACACAGTAGAGATATTGCCATGACATTTAAATAGGTTATCTGAATGCATAAAGCTGTGTCAATGCTTAGCAACAGTATACGCCTGTTTAGAGATAATTTAGCTTAATTGGAGTCTCATTGGAGTGATCTTAATCACATTAGATGTCTGCATGTCAATTGGCTTGCATCATATCCTGTCATGCATCATTTATTGTTGCGCTGAAAGGCACATCTACTTTTTTCTGACACAGGATGACACACGTAAAACAGACGTTCTTTGTTCTCCTCTTGAGTTTATGATGCGCCATATAGGCTGCTCCAAATAGTAGCTTGTGAAGTATCATGGGGTGGTACTTAAAAGTAGGAATGCATCAATATGGGAATGGTTTGCTGATATTTTTTACAAATCTGATGCTGCAGATACATAAACCACCTGGATTAACATCATTATCTTTAGAGGGCAGGAAATGAATAAAATGCAGATATTTTAGCACCATAGTCGTACATCAATTAGACATTCTGTTCGGAGTAACATTAATATATTAATGTTATATTAATATATAATCATCAAGTATCAGCTTAAAATATCGGTCAAATCTAATAATGATATGCTTCCAATATGTATGCATTATGTGCATCCCTACTAAAAAATATCTAAAAAGTAGAAAAACAAAACACAAAACCTAAAAAATTATGCCATTTCCTCATCAATAATCATGTTTAGTTATACAGTTTTGGATTTAAATACAAATTTTCAATTGATGTACAGGAGGTAGAGATGAAAGATTAATCGGTTTTATACTTAAATCACAATTTAAAGAGTGCAATTTTCAAATTGCAAGAGCTGCCGTTTTAAATTTGGCCTGCATTGTCAACAACCACATTGTCATGTTTAAAGTGGGGAACTCAATCTAATAACACAGAGCTTGTGAACCACCTGTAGATGAGTTGGACTAATCTGAAGCAACCAAATGTGCTTTGCATATGGCAACACAACCACAATTAACTGGCAGTCTGGCACATTATGTCCAGCATTCAAGCCTCAATGTTCTGGACTTATGGACCGCGTAAATAGTTATGTGTATCAGTTAATCCGTTGCTACACTTCAGTAACTGCTTGTTCAGGTAATTGTCTGTCTAGAATGTGTTGATAAGCCATGCATTGATACATGCTGCGACACACTCACTCTCAAAGAGTCTGTGCCGCTGATAAGGTTTGCTTTGACTAGCTGCTGACACTGGTGTTGGTTTTAATACAGTGAGAGGTAGAATACTAGAGCAAACATTGAGCTGCTGTGGATGATGAAACGAAATGACTATGATTTGGAGCTGGCTTGTTGAAGCAAGATAGGGCTTGTTGGGTAATGTAGCATGCAATATGAAAAGGTGATATACAGTAGGACTGCAAGATTGTTTATTCAAATGAGGATTTGCACATGATTGGATGTTTGCTTCCCCGTGGTGAAACCTTAAAGGGCCTCTGTTTTGCATTGTGTCTTCAAATACCTAAAGGAATGATGTTAAAGGTATAGCTGCTGGGGCTGCATGTTTTTAGTTTGCACTCATCTTAAGTTTCCTTTACACAAAAATTTTAAAGTCCGACGTGAAAGAAAATATTATTGTTTCCATATGAGTTTGGCATGCCCGTCTTCTGAAATGTGTTTTATTGCTCTTAATAAGGCTAGACAAAACACTTGGATGTGATCCAGAGCAGTAGGTGGATATGTTTATTTTTAGGGAGGATCATAATTTAACTACACCTTCAATCAACTTAATAATTAATCCTGTCAGTTTATGATATGTACGATATGTTTAATAAAACTAGTTAAACAGATATTTGGCAGGAAAACACTGAAGGGCAGCTTTTGGGTGTGCGCACACTTAGATGGCTTTGGTCAGTGTGAAGGAATTCTGTATTGTGTGTTTATGCAGTATCTGTTTCAGTCACTGTCGCTGGATGAAGAGAAAGTGCAGAGCAATGGGTGGGGTTGTATTTTGAAGGAAAAGGGAAAAAAAGCCTGTTCATAGAGCACACCCTTGCAGTATGTACAGCAGGCAGAATATACTGATTGTGTTTGCAGTGAAATCCTTGTGGTCCTCTTAAACACGTCTAAAGTTGTGCCTTTTTTCTTTTACTTTTTTTTCAGAAAACAAAGTAACACAGGGGTGGCACGAGGTGTCACGTTGTGCCTGAGCACAAGGTAAGTTCCTTTTTTTTCTTTCTATTGTCCAAAAAATATTAAAAAACCAAAAAAGTCTGGTTGGAGCAAAAATAGAATCTTTAGATAGCTGCCACTGGTCACATTTGTCACCACACCTTCCCTATTGTGGCTTATTTCTTGTTAAATTCCTAAAAATGCTGCAAGAAAAGCACAAACATACACATACGTCATGAATTACATTATTGTCTGTTTGAGCAAATTCCTATTTTCTTTATGTATCTCAAGTGTATGTCAAATAACATCACAGCATTCTTTAGTGCATAAACAGTATACTGACAATTGAAATACGGAATCAGACACTAGATTTGTGAACATCCAGTGCTCTTGAACATCACTAAGTAAATGATTAAGCCAGTGATTATAAACCAAAGCCAAACTGCAGAGCGTTTATGGAATGCTAGTCATGAAATCCATGCTGGACTCCATGCTGAAGGTCATACAACCGTGCCTGCTGTGAAAGGCCTGCACTGAGAAATTTGACACTTCGCGCCCACTGTGTTTGCCCTCTCGTAGTACTGCCTGGCCACCTGTTCGTGACGCCCATTTCCCCATGCCATTGCCTGGCCTTTCAGGACTGCCCAGTTCACGTCAGCAGCTGGTTGAAAGCAGCTGCAGAAATATTCTCATGACCGACATTCAAAATGGATCTGTTTTTAAACTACTGTATGGAAAAAACTGTACATGCACAAAGACAATTTAAAGGCCAAATGAATTATGCTGGGCTGTTGACGCGGTTTGTATATGTGACTTGAGCATGGTGGAGAAGCATTGTGGTGTCATTGTATATGTCTGTCATGATACTGACTTGTGACTAAAGCCCCTCCTTCCTTTCTTTAGGCCATTTCAGTTGCATGTTTAAAGGACACTTTTACTTATTTGATTACTTAATCATGGTCAATATATTTAAGATGCTGTTTATCTCTGAAGTGATTTCTGAAGTGAGTTTATTTCCTTACACGAAAAAACACATATATTAGACACATACAAATAACGATAATACACTATTTTGTGATTTTATGTATGTTAGTATGTTTTGTTTAACCATTTCCAAAACTCTCCTCTTGGCAGCCTGGTATTATTTGCATTTGTCATAAAATTATTTGTTTTTGCTCATTAATCCTTCATTAAATTAAGGAGAAGTCCAATGTTAGGGTTTGGGTTAGTGCACCTGCAACTAGCACTCTGAAAATATGATAAATCTGCTTTGCTCACTAAAAACTTGCTGCTGCTAACAAGCCATAGCTGCATTTCCATTCTCTTTGTCTCTCACTTTCAAACATACGTCCTGTTTTTCCTCATTTGTTTCCAGTTTATTTCGGTTTGCAGTGATTTTATTAACTTGACTTGATCAGGTAAATTACTGCCATACTGCACTGCTAAACATATTCAGGAAAAATCTATGCTGCAGTGATTGATATTAAGGTTAGGGGAATGTGCTAACCCCATCAGAGAAGCAGAGCAGGAAGGGTGTGGCATCATGGTACATTTTAAAACAAGCATGAGGCAGGGAGAGGAAAAACAGGCCATTCCTCCACTTGCTGGGAGTTGGTGAGAATCTAACACTTAGTTAGTTTTTCCCTCCTACGGCTTTTGTAAATACCTGTGTGAGCCAACAATAATAATGAGCCTTGTTTCAGAGTTGGAGCACACAACTTTAGCGTGTCCCTGTTTCTGTAAGGGCTAAGAGATTTCAAAGACATATACAGGTTGTAAAGTATAATAGAAGGTTTGATAGAATGAAGAAAACAAATGCAAAATGCAATATGTATGCATTTCTACTTTGAAAACTGACACTAATTTGCACAGTTGACCAGGCAAAGTGATGGCAAGTAATGCTGCTTGGATCAGTAGTGTTTACTGTAACGAGGGTTAAGGATACTGTATAAGCACAGTGTGATTTGTTGGAACAGAATTCAGTAAAGGCATTTTAAACTGCAGTATATCTAAACGGTGTGTTACTCTAATTTGTCTTGTTTCCAATGACTTTAAGAATGAACAGTCAGTTACTCAAGGGTACTAAAATGACCAAATTAACTTATCTCATTCTGTCAAATTGTTCTTTTCTTCCACTAACTAGAAAGAGAATGTAGCTCTTCACAATAAGCTGATTATAACAGGGACATCATGGTGCCATCTTCGGCATTACAACAAAATACTAGGCTATTGTTGTGTGTCTGAGCATTCCTTTGGAATTTCCTGGAGGTCAAGGTCAGGCTTTTTTCAGAAGTGTGTATACATGCTATTTTTGATTCAGCAGGGATCAGAATTACTGAAATACCTTGTATGGATTCAACAAAACCTGCAGTTCTGTAAAATAATGGTTCATGTTGATTGTAAAGTTAAACTAAATGCGCGTATTGTGTGTCTCCTGGTGATGTTTGAGGACTGTCAGGAGTAGAAGTTATTTTGTTTGCATTCAAGTCTCTCTGCTTACTGTAAAGCGATCCTAGAAGATGTCAGCTGGTGTGTTAGCTCTGCGTTCCTCAACACTTGGTTTTGTTATTTTAAGCTTGCCTCGTTATGGATTTCTGCTTTCAAGGATTGGATATTTTTTTCAATACTGATTTGATATATTTGATATTGATATATCCTGAACAGTACTTTTTTCAATACCTTATTTTGCTTACAAACTGAAGGTGGTTGTGGTGAAATAAAGAAATGAGTGTGAGGTGCTGGAAGAAGGTATATTTACTAACAGTAATGAATTACAGGCTAACCAAGAGGTGCTGATGTTAATAACATGCAAGTGGAATGTGATATAGATGTCTGGATAATTTGTAGTATTGAGGTAATTCAGTCAGTGTTGTTAAAGTACTGAATTTTGGCACCCAGTCTTCTCTTTCTCGACAGGAAGTTGATGGAATGGAGAATTGGTGTTTAATTTCTACTTGCTCATTGTTGTGTTTATTGTATTAGACTTGCTTAACTTTTAAGGTTGACTACAAGCCAGTATTTTTAAGGACTTCCACGCTCGAACCATTTCAAAGAGACATCTGATGTAGAAATGCCTATACCTCTATGTGTTTGCTGCCTGATAACAATACTTCAAATCACCATAGAATCTTGTGTAATATCTCAGGTGTCACTGATTGGAAAGGCTTCTGTTTGTGTTGCAGTATTTTGTTGTTGTACATGTCACGATAGCCAGTTCACAGATTTGCAATATCTTTGTACATAATGTCATTCAACTGAATTGGGCAGTAGGAAATTGAATTCTTATAGAGTACTTATGAGGCAAAGTTATGAAGCAAACTGAAAACAGACACCACTGATTTGGCCCCTATCCTGCCAATCTCTTGCTAGACTAACACTTGTGTGGATTACATATCATTAGTTTTCCACAACTGATATCACGTTGCCTTGGGAGGTGCAAACAGGGATATAGAGATGGTTCAATATACTGCCATTCTTGGAATTTTCACTCTGAACCAGAAAGCTGAACCAGAAAACAGTTTGCTTTTGATAATTAATTAATTAATACATTCATTCATTTAACATTGACACCCCCTGGCCAGGCAACCAGGGTCCTTTCTGTGAGGAGTTTGCATGTTCTCCCTGTGTCTGCGTGGGTTTCCTCCCACAGTCCAAAGACATGCAGTCAGGCGAACTGGAGACGCTATATTGGCCCTAGGTGTGAGTGTGTGTGTGTGAGTGTGTATGTCTGTGAGTCTGCCCTGTGATGGACTGGCGACCTGTCCAGGGTGTTTCCTGTCTTCTGTCCAATGAGTGCTGGTATAGCTCCAGCACTCTCCATGACACAGGAGGATAAGAAGCTTAGACTGTGTGTGTGTGTGTGTGTGTGTGTGTGTGTGTGAGTGTGTGAGAGTGTGAGAGTTAACACCTGGGGGGATGTTTAATAAAGCAGGACTTCTCAGTAGCCAGATAACTTAAGCCCAAAGATGAGGACGGTCCAATAAGAATATCCTTCGGTTCTTTTCCTATTGGACAGGCTTGACTTTGGGCTTAAGTTATCTGGCTAAACTGAAAATCCTGCTTTTTGAAATACCCCCTGCTCAGATGTTTGCAGCAGAAGAGTGAGACAGATTCTCAATGGAAAAGAGCAGCAACATAACTGAAAAGTTAAAGGAAGAAACAGTTATCCCTTGCAAAGCTATTAGTTCCCGCTCATAATTTTCTTCAGGCAAAACAAAAATAATAAACTTATAGTTTAACTATGCTTTTTATTCCTTTTCATGGTGTAGAGTTGTAAATCAAACCAATGTAAGTGTGAGGGGCACATGTTTTGCTTGCTTTTTATTGGTTTTAGAAAATTAATACACGATACGCTTTTGTTTAAAATATCTGGTGTTTTCCAGTAATCAGTCGACATAAATCATAATCAGAGTCTTGATCTTGACGCTATTATATAAAATATGCATGTAGGTGTATTCATAACCAAAAGGTCTTATGTAATGAGTGGATGGCTGAGGGGGTGGTAATAATGAAACAATGAGATGTCTGTGTTTGAAGCTGGAATGGCAGACCCACATGTTTACTGGACAACTCTACACACAGGCTGCCTAGTATTATAGCTTTTTTTATGTATGCTTGGAGCATTACATGCAGATATTCTGAACTGAAATGACATTATTGTAATATGAATAATGCAGCAAAATGAATAAATGTAACTTCCACAGCAATTTGATTTTCCTGCAGTCTAATTTGCAAAATATAGGACAGACATAGACATAGCTTGAAATCAATGTGAAATAACATACTGAATGTATATAATTAAGTAATTTATATATTTATTTAAAAAAAATAACAATGCTTATACTATATATTCGAGCGCTTGCCATCAGCAGATGTATTTTCCTGTGTTGTGTGAGGTAGCTGTAACAGCATTGTTCTCTATACAGACATTTGATCTGAGCTATGAGCAAACTGTGTATCCTGAGGCTTTGGGTGTGGTTTATCTTCAACTATCCTTCTAGTTCAGACAGATTCAGTGAGGGATTCATTTTAGTTTAAAACCTGCTTGTTTTTAGACAAGCTTTTTAATGCCATCTAGTGGTATACTGCTAGAACTTCGTCTTCATTTCTCATAGTTCAAAAACTGGGCAATTTGCTAGTCATTTATAAACTTTTTTTAATTAGAAAAATAAACCCTGTAACCTGAAAATGTGAAATCAGATATCTTTGCAGCCCTGCAGATTTTGATCATGCACTGATATCTGGTAGTTATTAAATAACTATTTTCATCAAGAATGTCAACAGCCTTGTTTTGTTTGATTTCAGGGAGTGAAACTAGGTCTGATACAGTCCATTTCAGGGGACAGGTCAAAGAGAAACAGGATTTGAAGTAAGCATATGTGCTGAGTATTAAATGTTCTGTTACTGTTTAATGAATTACGGAAAGCAAAACACTAGCTTGCACTGTTAAATACTGGAAAAATACGATTGTGTTGTCATTATTTGATCTGTAATGCATAATAAATATACATATTAGCAGAATTTATATGTTACTCATATGAACATGAAGTACAGATTACATAAAAGTGCATATTCCAATCTAGCGTAACTTTAGAATAGACTAAATAATTCTGCAGCTGCTTTCAGAATGGGAGAATTTCCTTAGATAGGGACATGGAAATATATACCACCAGGTGTCAGTAAAGAACTGAATTTGACATTGTTGTCAGTGAATGATCAGACAAGTGTACTGTAATTAGTCTTTTATGTAAGTCTTTTGGTATACCATCTTTGCCCTGTGGCTTTTCTTTCTTTTACTGCACATAAAAGTAGCCTATGCTTTTTATCAGTGGTGTACTGGTTGAAACAGTGCCAGTGAAAGACATGACTTACCCCAGAATATCAAAGTTGAAAAAGTTGTGTTCATTGTCCCACTGAAAACATTCATTTAGATTCTTTCTCTGTTTTCAAGATGGCTGACGAAGAAGATACAAGGGAAGTGCTCTTCCCACAGTGGATGGGTGCTGATAAACATGGGCTTACAATAGAGCAAAAAGCTCAAGGAGAGATTTTCATCAAAGAAGTGAAAGAAGAGTCCCCTGCTGCTCACACTGGGAGAGTGTTTGAAGGTAAAGAACAGGCTGTTAACTTGATCACGATATAAAATCAATATAACTTTACACTCCATAATTAAATTCCAATAATTTCCAAAGACATTGTGCATCTGCTGTCTCATTTCTCTAATGCATCTCACCCACTCTCACAGGTGATCAAATTGTGGGTGCCACCATTTACTTTGAGAACATGAGCTCAGATGAAACAGCTGAGTTACTGAAGACGCTTAACCGACACAAAGTGGGACTAAAACTACAGCACAAGACAGGAGACAAGTCACCTTGCCGGTCTCCCATGGGCACACTGTCATGGGAAGGACGAAGTGGATTTGGAGGCTCTAGCCCTGACATCATCCTAGTATGATAATCATTTCTTATTTTTGTTTTTTAAAAATGAACTTCTATTTAGTAATGATAAGTTTTGAGCATGTATTTTCTTTGAAATTAGAAATAACTTCTTAAAGCACAATTCATCATGCCAGCTTTCAGTTCTTTTGCTGGTGGCTGTTTAGGGTTGTATCTATATGGAGTTATGGAAAAACTGAAAGTTACTTTTTTAGTTTTTTTATTTTTTTAAAGAAAATATTCACTTCTGATTTCTGTCTGTGCAGAGTGGGGATGATGAGGACTACAAGAGAATCTACACTAAGAAAATTAAGCCCAGACTGAAGTCTGAGGACCTTGCAGAGGGAGTTGATGTACGTACAGAACGTCACAGCAGCACCAGCAGTGACGGCAGCACTATAACTACCATTACTCGCCGTATCACTACCTACACTGTGGACATACCGGGGGCATCTGGCCAGCAACAGATTGATATTTCAAGCCCAGAGTTTAAAATTCATGTTTCACAACACGAGCAGCAAGAGGGGAGCTCTGCTCAGATCAGATTACCGCATGGGAGCCTTATAAACAAAGTTGGTACCCAAGAGGGTGTAGATGTGGGGGAAGTAAGACTTAGAGATCCAGAAGCCACTAGTTCTTCTGAGAAGCACTGGAGTACAGCACATGTCAAAACAACAATTACAAAAAGAGGGATAGAGGGGAGTGGGAAGGATCTGAAATTTAATTTGTCTGACACTGGACTGTCAGGGGAAAAAACACAAGGGGAACTGGGACATTCTGGGTGGATTCAACATGAGATGAGTGGAATAAGCAAAGGTTCAGTCACCGCGGACACAGGTACAGGTAATGTGGGTCTCTCAGGTAAAGTGGGCATGGAGTTAGACCAAGATGCAGGTCACGTAAGCATTAGTGATCAGCACTTGAAAGACAGTGGAAAAGGATTCAGCATCAGTGTGAACAAAGGAGAGATCATTACTCCACATTTAACAGAACATACAATTGTTGTTTCCAAACCAGATACTGAATCTGAGGTGAAAGGTTCAAATGTGAAAGGAGGAACAGAGTTTGTTTCAGGTTTTTCCATGAGAGTGGGATCACAAGACAGCAAAATGTCATGGAAAGACACTTCACCTTCTGGTGAAATAAAGCTGCCAAAACCTAGCATAGATGTAAAAGGGTTCAAAGTAGAAGGTAGTGTAAAGCCACCAAAGCAAGAAACTGGGCATATAGATGTGTCAGTTCCACAAATTAAGGGGGATATCAAGGTGACAGAACTTGAAATTGGGGGAAATAAGATGCCATCCATCACTGGACCAAAAATATCTATGCAAGAGGTGAATTTGAACATCAAGGGTCAAAAACTGAAAGGAGATGTCCCAGTTCCAGAAATGCAAGCAGATATAAAATGTCCAGCTATTTCCCGGACTGATGTGGACATAAAGGGCCCAAAAATGAAAGGAGATGTAGATGTTTCTGTTGCAAAAGTAGATATTAAAGACCCAAAAGTGAATACTCATGGGACAGAATCAAAAATCAAAATGCCATCATTTGGATTTAAAGGTCCAAAGGTTGAAGGTCCTCATGTAGAAATAAGCCTTCCCAAAGCTGAAGTCGACGTAAAGGGACCAGCCATAGATATCAAAGCTCCCGATGCTAGCATTGATGCCAAGATGCCCTGTCCTTCTGATCCTAAGAGTTCCATGCCTGATGTGGACATTAACATAAAAGGTCTGCAAATTAAAGGTAATGCAGATCTTTCACTACCAAAAGTTGCAGGGGACATCAAAGCACCCAAAGTGGATATTAAAAGTCCAAATGTTGACGTTGAAGGACCTGAAGAAGGCCCTAAGACGACAAAAATCAAAATGCCTTCTTTTGGGCTAAAAGGTCCAAAGGTTGAAGGCACAGATATAGATGTTAAACTGTCCAAACCTGAACTTGACATTAAAGGACAAACAATAGATGTAAAAGCTTCTAATGCTGACATTGAGGGACCTGAGGGAAACGTGAAGGGTCCAAAATTAAAGATGCCCTCCATCTCTGGTCCAGAGATCTCTATGCCTAAGTTAGACATAAAGGGTCCAAAAATCAAAAGTGATGCAGAAGTCTCAGCACCAAAGATTGAGGGGGATATCAAAGCACCTAAAGTGGACATTAAAGGTACAGACATTGATATTGAGGGACATGAAGGTGGATTCAAGATGCCAAAAATCAAAATGCCATCATTTGGGCTTAAAGGTCCAAAGGTTGAAGGCCCTGACGTCGATGTAAGCCTTCCCAAAGCTGAAGTTGATATAAAGGGACCAGCCGTAGACATAAATGTCCCAGGCGTTGACATTGAGGGACGTGATGGAAAAGTAAAAGGTCCCAAATTCAAGATGCCTTCTCTTTCTGGTCCAAAGATGTCCATGCCTGATGTTGACATAAACCTAAAGGGTCCAAAATTTAAAGGCGATGCAGAAATCTCAGTACCAAAGGTTGAGGGGGATATCAAAGCACCTAAAGTGGATATTAAAGGTCCAGAGGTTGATACTGAGGGACCTGAAGGAGGATTCAAAATGCCAAAAATCAAAATGCCGTCTTTCGGTCTTAAAGGACCCAAAGTGGAGGGCCCTGAAGTTGATGTAAGCCTTCCAAAAGGAGATGCTGAAATAAAAGGACCAGCCATAGATGTGAAGACACCTGATGTTGACATTGAGGGACCTGAAGGAAAAATCAAAGGTCCTAAATTTAAGATGCCAACCATCACTGGTCCAAAGATTTCTATGCCAGATGTCGATCTGAACCTGAAAGGCCCTAAAGTAAAAGGGGATGTTGATGTTTCAGTTCCTAAGATGGAAGCAGATGTGAAGGCCCCAAAAGTAGATATCAAAGGACCAGATGTTGACATTGAAGGCCCTGAAGGTGGTTTCAAGATGCCAAAAATCAAAATGCCATCATTTGGGCTTAAAGGTCCAAAGGTTGAGGGCCCTGATGTCGACGTAAGCCTTCCCAAAGCTGAAGTTGATATAAAGGGACCAGCCGTAGACATAAATGTCCCCGATGTTGACATTGAGGGACCTAATGGAAAAGTTAAAGGTCCCAAATTCAAGATGCCATCTCTTTCTGGTCCAAAGATCTCCATGCCTGATGTAGACATAAACCTAAAGGGTCCAAAATTCAAAGGCGATGCAGAAGTTTCAGTACCAAAGGTAGAGGGTGATATCAAAGCACCAAATGTGGATATTAAAGAACCAGATGTTGATATTGAGGGACCTGAAGGAGGATTCAAAATGCCAAAAATCAAAATGCCGTCGTTCGGTTTTAAAGGACCCAAAATGGAGGGCCCTGAAGTTGATGTAAGTCTTCCCAAAGGAGATGCTGAAATAAAAGGACCAGCCATAGATGTGAAGACACCAGATGTTGAAATTGAGGGACCTGAAGGAAAAATTAAAGGCCCCAAATTTAAGATGCCTACCATCTCTGGTCCAAAGATCTCTATGCCAGATGTGGATTTCAACCTGAAAGGCCCTAAAGTAAAAGGGGATGTTGATGTTTCAGTTCCTAAGATGGAAGCGGATGTGAAGGCCCCAAAAGTAGATATCAAAGGACCAGATGTTGACCTTGAAGGCCCTGAAGGTGGTTTCAAGATGCCAAAAATCAAAATGCCATCATTTGGGCTTAAAGGTCCAAAGGTTGAGGGCCCTGATGTTGATGTAAGCCTTCCCAAAGCTGAAGTTGATATAAAGGGACCAGCCGTAGACATAAATGTCCCAGATGTTGACATTGAGGGACCTGATGGAAAAGTGAAAGGTCCCAAATTTAAGATGCCAACCATCTCTGGTCCAAAGATTTCTATGCCAGATGTGGATTTCAACCTGAAAGGCCCTAAAGTAAAAGGGGATGTTGATGTTTCAGTTCCTAAGATAGAAGCGGATGTGAAGGCCCCAAAAGTAGATATCAAAGGACCAGATGTTGACCTTGAAGGCCCTGAAGGTGGTTTCAAGATGCCAAAAATCAAAATGCCATCATTTGGGCTTAAAGGTCCAAAGGTTGAGGGCCCTGATGTTGATGTAAGCCTTCCCAAAGCTGAAGTTGATATAAAGGGACCAGCTGTAGACATAAACGTCCCAGATGTTGACATTGAGGGACCTGACGGAAAAGTTAAAGGTCCAAAATTTAAGATGCCAACTATTTCGGGTCCAAAGATCTCTATGCCAGATGTGGATTTCAACCTGAAAGGTCCCAAAGTGAAAGGAGATGTTGATGTTTCAGTTCCTAAGATGGAAGCGGATGTGAAGGCCCCAAAAGTAGATATCAAAGGACCAGATGTTGACATTGAAGGCCTTGAAGGTGGTTTCAAGATGCCAAAAATCAAAATGCCATCATTTGGGCTTAAAGGTCCAAAGGTTGAGGGCCCTGATGTTGATGTAAGCCTTCCCAAAGCTGAAGTTGATATAAAGGGACCAGCCGTAGACATAAATGTCCCAGATGTTGACATTGAGGGACCTGATGGAAAAGTGAAAGGTCCCAAATTTAAGATGCCAACCATCTCTGGTCCAAAGATTTCTATGCCAGATTTGGATTTCAACCTGAAAGGCCCTAAATTAAAAGGGGATGTTGATGTTTCAGTTCCTAAGATGGAAGCGGATGTGAAGGCCCCGAAAGTAGATATCAAAGGACCAGATGTTGACATTGAAGGCCCTGAAGGTGGATTCAAGATGCCAAAAATCAAAATGCCATCATTTGGGCTTAAAGGTCCAAAGGTTGAGGGCCCTGATGTTGATGTAAGCCTCCCCAAAGCTGAAGTTGATATAAAGGGACCAGCCATAGACATAAATGTCCCAGATGTTGACATTGAGGGACCTGATGGAAAAGTTAAAGGTCCCAAATTCAAGATGCCAACCATCTCGGGTCCAAAGATTTCTATGCCAGATGTGGATTTCAACCTGAAAGGCCCTAAAGTAAAAGGGGATGTTGATGTTTCAGTTCCTAAGATGGAAGCGGATGTGAAGGCCCCAAAAGTAGATATCAAAGGACCAGATGTTGACATTGAAGGCCCTGAAGGTGGTTTCAAGATGCCAAAAATCAAAATGCCATCATTTGGGCTTAAAGGTCCAAAGGTTGAGGGCCCTGATGTTGATGTAAGCCTTCCCAAAGCTGAAGTTGATATAAAGGGACCAGCCGTAGACATAAATGTCCCAGATGTTGACATTGAGGGACCTGATGGAAAAGTTAAAGGTCGCAAATTCAAGATGCCATCTCTTTCAGGTCCAAAGATCTCCATGCCTGATATAGACATAAAGGGTCCAAAATTCAAAGGTGATGCAGACATTTCAGTACCAAAGGTTGAGGGGGATATCAAAGCACCAAAAGTGGATATTAAATGTGCAGACATTGATATTGAGGGACCTGAAGGAGGATTCAAAATGCCAAAAATCAAAATGCCGTCTTTCGGTCTTAAAGGACCCAAAGTGGAGGGCCCTGAAGTTGATGTAAGCCTTCCAAAAGGAGATGCTGAAATAAAAGGACCAGCCATAGATGTGAAGACACCTGATGTTGAAATTGAGGGACCTGAAGGAAAAATTAAAGGTCCCAAATTTAAGATGCCAACCATCTCTGGTCCAAAGATTTCTATGCCAGATGTGGATTTCAACCTGAAAGGCCCTAAAGTAAAAGGGGATGTTGATGTTTCAGTTCCTAAGATGGAAGTGGATGTGAAGGCCCCAAAAGTAGATATCAAAGGACCAGATGTTGACATTGAAGGCCCTGAAGGTGGATTCAAGATGCCAAAAATCAAAATGCCATCATTTGGGCTTAAAGGTCCAAAGGTTGAAGGCCCTGATGTTGATGTAAGCCTTCCCAAAGCTGACGTTGATATAAAGGGACCAGCCGTAGATATAAGTGTCCCAGATGTTGACATTGAGGGACCTGACGGAAAAGTTAAAGGTCCCAAATTTAAGATGCCAACCATCTCTGGTCCAAAGATTTCTATGCCAGATGTGGATTTCAACCTGAAAGGCCCTAAAGTAAAAGGGGATGTTGATGTTTCAGTTCCTAAGATGGAAGCGGATGTGAAGGCCCCGAAAGTAGATATCAAAGGACCAGATGTTGACATTGAAGGCCCTGAAGGTGGTTTCAAGATGCCAAAAATCAAAATGCCATCATTTGGGCTTAAAGGTCCAAAGGTTGAGGGCCCTGATGTTGATGTAAGCCTTCCCAAAGCTGAAGTTGATATAAAGGGACCAGCCGTAGACATAAATGTCCCAGATGTTGACATTGAGGGACCTGATGGAAAAGTGAAAGGTCCCAAATTTAAGATGCCAACCATCTCTGGTCCAAAGATTTCTATGCCAGATGTGGATTTCAATCTGAAAGGCCCTAAAGTAAAAGGGGATGTTGATGTTTCAGTTCCTAAGATGGAAGCAGATGTGAAGGCCCCAAAAGTAGATATCAAAGGACCAGATGTTGACATTGAAGGCCCTGAAGGTGGTTTCAAGATGCCAAAAATCAAAATGCCATCATTTGGGCTTAAAGGTCCAAAGGTTGAGGGCCCTGATGTTGATGTAAGCCTTCCCAAAGCTGAAGTTGACATAAAGGGACCAGCCGTAGACGTAAATGTCCCAGATGTTGACATTGAGGGACCTGACGGAAAAATTAAAGGTCCCAAATTTAAGATGCCAACCATCTCGGGTCCAAAGATTTCTATGCCAGATGTGGATTTCAACCTGAAAGGCCCTAAAGTGAAAGGGGATGTTGATGTTTCAGTTCCTAAGATGGAAGCGGATGTGAAGGCCCCAAAAGTAGATATCAAAGGACCAGATGTTGACATTGAAGGCCCTGAAGGTGGTTTCAAGATGCCAAAAATCAAATTGCCATCATTTGGGCTTAAAGGTCCAAAGGTTGAAGGCCCTGATGTTGATGTAAGCCTTCCCAAAGCTGAAGTTGATATAAAGGGACCAGCCGTAGACATAAATGTCCCAGATGTTGACATTGAGGGACCTGATGGAAAAGTGAAAGGACCCAAATTTAAGATGCCAACCATCTCGGGTCCAAAGATTTCTATGCCAGATGTGGATTTCAACCTGAAAGGCCCTAAAGTGAAAGGAGATGTTGATGTTTCTGTTCCTAAGATGGAAGCGGATATAAAGGCCCCAAAAGTAGATATCAAAGGACCAGATGTTGACATTGAAGGCCCTGAAGGTGGTTTCAAGATGCCAAAAATCAAACTGCCATCATTTGGGCTTAAAGGTCCAAAGGTTGAAGGCCCTGATGTTGATGTAAGCCTTCCCAAAGCTGAAGTTGATATAAAGGGACCAGCCGTAGACATAAATGTCCCAGATGTTGACATTGAGGGACCTGATGGAAAAGTGAAAGGTCCCAAATTTAAGATGCCAACCATCTCTGGTCCAAAGATTTCTATGCCAGATGTGGATTTCAACCTGAAAGGCCCTAAAGTAAAAGGAGATGTTGATGTTTCAGTTCCTAAGATGGAAGCGGATGTGAAGGCCCCAAAAGTAGATATCAAAGGACCAGATGTTGACATTGAAGGCCCTGAAGGTGGTTTCAAGATGCCAAAAATCAAAATACCATCATTTGGGCTTAAAGGTCCAAAGGTTGAGGGTCCTGATGTTGATGTAAGCCTTCCCAAAGCTGAAGTTGACATAAAGGGACCAGCTGTAGACATAAATGTCCCAGATGTCGACATTGAGGGACCTGATGGAAAAGTGAAAGGTCCCAAATTTAAGATGCCAACCATCTCTGGTCCAAAGATTTCTATGCCAGATGTGGATTTCAACCTAAAAGGCCCTAAAGTGAAAGGGGATGTTGATGTTTCAGTTCCTAAGATGGAAGCGGATGTGAAGGCCCCAAAAGTAGATATCAAAGGACCAGATGTTGACATTGAAGGCCCTGAAGGTGGTTTCAAGATGCCAAAAATCAAAATGCCATCATTTGGGCTTAAAGGTCCAAAGGTTGAGGGCCCTGATGTTGATGTAAGCCTTCCCAAAGCTGAAGTTGATATAAAGGGACCAGGTCTAGACATAAATGTCCCAGATGTTGACATTGAGGGACCTGACGGAAAAATTAAAGGTCCCAAATTTAAGATGCCAACCATCTCGGGTCCAAAGATTTCTATGCCAGATGTGGATTTCAACCTGAAAGGCCCTAAAGTAAAAGGAGATGTTGATGTTTCTGTTCCTAAGATGGAAGCGGATATAAAGGCCCCAAAAGTAGATATCAAAGGACCAGATGTTGACATTGAAGGCCCTGAAGGTGGTTTCAAGATGCCAAAAATCAAAATGCCATCATTTGGGCTTAAAGGTCCAAAGGTTGAAGGCCCTGATGTTGATGTAAGCCTTCCCAAAGCTGAAGTTGATATAAAGGGACCAGCCGTAGACATAAATGTCCCAGATGTTGACATTGAGGGACCTGATGGAAAAGTGAAAGGTCCCAAATTTAAGATGCCAACCATCTCGGGTCCAAAGATTTCTATGCCAGATTTGGATTTCAACCTGAAAGGCCCTAAATTAAAAGGGGATGTTGATGTTTCAGTTCCTAAGATGGAAACGGATGTGAAGGCCCCAAAAGTAGATATCAAAGGACCAGATGTTGACCTTGAAGGCCCTGAAGGTGGTTTCAAGATGCCAAAAATCAAAATGCCATCATTTGGGCTTAAAGGTCCAAAGGTTGAGGGCCCTGATGTTGATGTAAGCCTTCCCAAAGCTGAAGTTGATATAAAGGGGCCAGCTGTAGACATAAATGTCCCCGATGTTGACATTGAGGGACCTGATGGAAAAGTGAAAGGTCCCAAATTTAAGATGCCAACCATCTCGGGTCCAAAGATTTCTATGCCAGATGTGGATTTCAACCTGAAAGGCCCTAAAGTAAAAGGGGATGTTGATGTTTCAGTTCCTAAGATGGAAGGGGATGTGAAGGCACCAAAAATAGATATCAAAGGACTAGATGTTGACATTGAAGGCCCTGAAGGTGGATTCAAGATGCCAAAAATCAAAATGCCATCATTTGGGCTTAAAGGTCCAAAGGTTGAGGGCCCTGACGTTGATGTAAGTCTTCCCAAAGCTGAAGTTGATATAAAGGGACCAGGTCTAGACATAAATGTCCCAGATGTTGACATTGAGGGACCTGACGGAAAAGTGAAAGGTCCAAAATTTAAGATGCCAACTCTCTCTGGTCCAAAAATCTCCATGCCTGATGTAGACATAAACTTAAAGGGTGATGCAGATGTTTCAGTTCCAAAGATTGAAGGAGACATTAAATCACCAAAGGTTGATATTGAATGTCCTGGTATTGATATTAAGTCCCCAGATTTTGACATTGATGGATCTAGTGGAAAAATCAAGGGTCCAAAATTCAAGATACCATCTGTATCAGGCCCAAAGATTTCTATGCCTGATGTGGACTTCAAGCTTAAAGGACCCAAAATGAAAAGTGACGTGGACATGTCTGTTCCAACAGTTGAGGGAGACATTGCTGTCCCCAAAGTAGAAATTGAAGGCCCCAAAGTTGACCTGGATGTTCCTGAAGCTAGTTTGAAGAAATCAAAGTTCAAAATGCCAAAATTTGGATTGAAAGGGTCAAAGATTGAAGGGCCAGATGTTGAGGTCAAACCTGCAAAGGGTGATATTAATGTGGATGCTAAAAGTCCAGAAGGTGGATTCAAGTTGCCAAAATTCAAAATGCCAAAGTTTGGATTTAAATCGCCTAAGGCAGATATGCCCAGTGTTGAAATAAATGTGCCCAAAGCAGATATTGACCTTAAAGCACCTGATGTTAACATCAAGAGTCCATCTCTAGACCTAGAAGTACCAGAAGGAAAGATTAAAGGTCCCAAAATTAAAATGCCATCAATCTCTGGTCCCAAAATCTCTTTGCCTGATGTAGACGTCAATCTTAAAGGACCAAAAATTGAGGGAGAGGTGGACGTCTCTGCACCGAAGATCGAAGGTGACATGAAACCACCCAAAATAGACATTGAAGGTCCAGAAATTGATGTGGAGGGACCAGAAGGTGGTTTCAGGATGCCTAAAATCAAAATGCCATCATTTGGACTGAAAGGACCAAAACTGGAGGGCCCTGATGTTGATGTAAATTTGCCAAAGGGTGATATCGACATTAAAGGTCCCAAGATTGATGTTAAAAGCCCAGAGGTTGACATTGAAGGACCAGAAGGGAAAATCAAGGGTCCCAAATTCAAAATGCCCACATTATCTGGTCCAAAAATTTCCATGCCTGATGTTGACTTTAATGTTAAAGGCCCTAAAATAAAGGGAGATGTTGATGTCTCAGTACCAAAGATTGAGGGTGACATGAAAGCACCCAAAGTAGACATTGAAGGTCCAGAGCTTGATGTGGAAGGACCAGAAGGTGGTTTCAAGATGCCCAAAATCAAAATGCCATCATTTGGAATGAAAGGGCCAAAAGTGGAGGGCCCTGATGTTGATGTAAATTTGCCAAAGGGCGATATCAACATTAAAGGTCCCAAGATAGATGTTAAAAGCCCAGAGGTTGACATTGAAGGACCAGAAGGGAAAATCAAGGGTCCAAAATTCAAAATGCCCACCATATCTGGACCAAAACTTTCCATGCCTGATGTAGACCTCAGTGTTAAAGGCCCTAAACTAAAGGGAGATGTGGATATCTCAGCTCCTAAGATTGAGGGCGACATTAAAGCACCCAAAGTAGACATTGAAGGTCCAGAGTTTGATGTGGAGGGACCAGAAGGTGGTTTCAAGATGCCTAAAATCAAAATGCCATCATTTGGATTGAAAGGGCCCAAATTGGAGGGACCTGATGTTGACGTGAATTTGCCCAAGGGTGATATCGACATTAAAGGTCCCAAGATTGACGTTAAAAGCCCAGAGGTTGACATTGAAGGACCAGAAGGAAAAATCAAGGGTCCCAAATTCAAAATGCCCACATTATCTGGACCAAACATCTCGATGCCTGATGTAGACTTCAATGTTAAAGGTCCTAAACTAAAGGGAAACATGGATATCTCAGTTCCAAAGATTGAAGGCGACATTAAAGCACCCAAAGTAGACATTGAAGGTCCAGAGCTTGATGTGGAGGGACCAGAAGGTGGTTTCAAGATGCCTAAAATCAAAATGCCATCATTTGGAATGAAAGGGCCAAAATTGGAGGGACCTGATGTTGACGTGAATTTGCCAAAGGGTGATATCGACATTAAAGGTCCCAAGATTGACGTTAAAAGCCCAGAGATTGACATTGAAGGACCAGAAGGGAAAATCAAGGGTCCCAAATTCAAAATGCCTACATTATCTGGTCCCAAGATTTCCATGCCTGATGTAGACCTCAAGGTTAAAGGCCCTAAACTAAAGGGAGATGTGGATATCTCAGTTCCAAAGATCGAAGGTGACATGAAAGCACCAAAAGTAGACATTGAAGGTCCAGAATTTGATGTGGAGGGACCAGAAGGCGGTTTCAAGATGCCCAAAATCAAAATGCCATCATTTGGATTTAAAGGGCCAAAACTGGAGGGCCCTGATGTTGATGTAAATTTGCCAAAAGGTGATATCGACATTAAAGGTCCCAAGATTGACGTTAAAAGCCCAGAGGTTGACATTGAAGGACCAGAAGGAAAAATCAAGGGTCCCAAATTCAAAATGCCCACTATATCTGGTCCAAAAATTTCTATGCCTGATGTGGATCTCAATGTTAAAGGCCCTAAACTAAAGGGAGATGTGGATATCTCAGTTCCTAAGATCGAAGGTGACATAAAAGCACCCAAAGTAGACATTGAAGGTCCAGAGCTTGATGTGGAGGGACCAGAAGGCGGTTTCAAGATGCCCAAATTCAAAATGCCATCATTTGGATTTAAAGGGCCAAAAGTGGAGGGCCCTGATGTTGATGTAAATTTGCCCAAGGGTGATATCGACATTAAAGGTCCCAAGATCAATGTTACAAGCCCAGAGGTTGACATTGAAGGACCAGAAGGAAAAATCAAGGGTCCAAAATTCAAAATGCCCACAATCTCTGGTCCAAAGATTTCCATGCCTGATGTAGACTTCAATGTTAAAGGCCCTAAACTAAAGGGAGATGTGGATATCTCAGTTCCAAAGATCGAAGGCGACATTAAAGCACCCAAAGTAGACATTGAAGGTCCAGAGTTTGATGTGGAGGGACCAGAAGGTGGTTTCAAGATGCCCAAAATCAAAATGCCATCATTTGGAATGAAAGGGCCAAAAGTGGAGGGCCCTGATGTTGATGTAAATCTACCAAAGGGTGATATTGACATTAAAGGTCCCAAGATTGACGTTAAAAGCCCAGAGGTTGACATTGAAGGACCAGAAGGAAAAATCAAGGGTCCAAAATTCAAAATGCCCACCATATCTGGTCCAAAAATTTCTATGCCTGATGTGGACCTCAATGTTAAAGGTCCTAAACTAAAGGGAGATGTGGATATCTCAGTTCCTAGAATCGAAGGTGACATAAAAGCACCCAAAGTAGACACTGAAGGTCCAGAGCTTGATGTGGAGGGACCAGAAGGCGGTTTCAAGATGCCCAAATTCAAAATGCCATCATTTGGATTTAAAGGGCCAAAAGTGGAGGGCCCTGATGTTGATGTGAATTTGCCAAAGGGTGATATCGACATTAAAGGTCCCAAGATCGACGTTAAAAGCCCAGAGGTTGACATTGAAGGACCAGAAGGGAAAATCAAAGGTCCAAAATTCAAAATGCCTACAATCTCTGGTCCAAAGATTTCCATGCCTGATGTCGACTTCAATGTTAAAGGCCCTAAACTAAAGGGAGATGTGGATATCTCAGTTCCAAAGATCGAAGGCGACATGAAAGCACCAAAAGTAGACATTGAAGGTCCAGAATTTGATGTGGAGGGACCAGAAGGTGGTTTCAAGATGCCCAAAATCAAAATGCCATCATTTGGATTGAAAGGGCCAAAAGTAGAGGGCCCTGATGTTGATGTAAAATTGCCAAAGGGTGATATCGACATTAAAGGTCCCAAGATTGACGTTAAAAGCCCAGAGGTTGACATTGAAGGACCAGAAGGAAAAATCAAGGGTCCCAAATTCAAAATGCCCACTATATCTGGTCCAAAACTTTCCATGCCTGATGTAGACTTCAATGTTAAAGGCCCTAAACTAAAGGGAGATGTGGATATCTCAGTTCCAAAGATCGAAGGTGACATTAAAGCACCCAAAGTAGACATTGAAGGTCCAGAGTTTGATGTGGAGGGACCAGAAGGTGGTTTCAAGATGCCCAAAATCAAAATGCCATCATTTGGATTCAAAGGGCCAAAAGTGGAGGGCCCTGATGTTGACGTAAAATTGCCAAAGGGTGATATCGACATAAAAGGTCCCAAGATTGACGTTAAAAGCCCAGAGGTTGACATTGAAGGACCAGAAGGAAAAATCAAGGGTCCCAAATTCAAAATGCCCACTATATCTGGTCCAAAACTTTCCATGCCTGATGTAGACTTCAATGTTAAAGGCCCTAAACTAAAGGGAGATGTTGATATCTCAGTTCCAAAGATTGAAGGTGACATTAAAGCACCCAAAGTAGACATTGAAGGTCCAGAATTTGATGTGGAGGGACCAGAAGGTGGTTTCAAGATGCCCAAAATCAAAATGCCATCATTTGGATTGAAAGGGCCAAAAGTAGAGGGCCCTGATGTTGATGTAAAATTGCCAAAGGGTGATATCGACATTAAAGGTCCCAAGATTGACGTTAAAAGCCCAGAGGTTGACATTGAAGGACCAGAAGGAAAAATCAAGGGTCCAAAATTCAAAATGCCCACTATATCTGGTCCAAAACTTTCCATGCCTGATGTAGACTTCAATGTTAAAGGCCCTAAACTAAAGGGAGATGTGGATATCTCAGTTCCAAAGATCGAAGGTGACATTAAAGCACCCAAAGTAGACATTGAAGGTCCAGAATTTGATGTGGAGGGACCAGAAGGTGGTTTCAAGATGCCCAAAATCAAAATGCCATCATTTGGATTCAAAGGGCCAAAAGTGGAGGGCCCTGATGTTGACGTAAAATTGCCAAAGGGTGATATCGACATAAAAGGTCCCAAGATTGACGTTAAAAGCCCAGAGGTTGACATTGAAGGACCAGAAGGAAAAATTAAGGGTCCCAAATTCAAAATGCCCACTATATCTGGTCCAAAACTTTCCATGCCTGATGTAGACTTCAATGTTAAAGGCCCTAAACTAAAGGGAGATGTGGATATCTCAGTTCCAAAGATCGAAGGTGACATCAAAGCACCCAAAGTAGACATTGAAGGTCCAGAATTTGATGTGGAGGGACCAGAAGGTGGTTTCAAGATGCCCAAAATCAAAATGCCATCATTTGGATTTAAAGGGCCAAAAGTGGAGGGCCCTGATGTTGATGTAAATTTGCCAAAGGGTGATATCGACATTAAAGGTCCCAAGATTGACGTTAAAAGCCCAGAGGTTGACATTGAAGGACCAGAAGGAAAAATCAAGGGTCCAAAATTCAAAATGCCCACAATCTCTGGTCCAAAGATTTCCATGCCTGATGTAGACCTCAATGTTAAAGGCCCTAAACTAAAGGGAGATGTTGATATCTCAGTTCCAAAGATCGAAGGCGACATGAAAGCACCCAAAGTAGACATTGAAGGTCCAGAATTTGATGTGGAGGGACCAGAAGGCGGTTTCAAGATGCCCAAAATCAAAATGCCATCATTTGGATTTAAAGGGCCAAAAGTGGAGGGACCTGATGTTGATGTAAAACTGCCAAAGGGTGATATCGACATTAAAGGTCCCAAGATTGACGTTAAAAGCCCAGAGGTTGACATTGAAGGACCAGAAGGGAAAATCAAGGGTCCCAAATTCAAAATGCCCACTATATCTGGTCCAAAACTTTCCATGCCTGATGTAGACTTCAACGTTAAAGGCCCTAAACTTAAGGGAGATGTGGATATCTCAGTTCCAAAGATCGAAGGTGACATTAAAGCACCCAAAGTAGACATTGAAGGTCCAGAATTTGATGTGGAGGGACCAGAAGGTGGTTTCAAGATGCCCAAAATCAAAATGCCATCATTTGGAATGAAAGGGCCAAAAGTGGAGGGCCCTGATGTTGATGTAAATTTGCCAAAGGGTGATATCGACATGAAAGGTCCCAAGATTGACGTTAAAAGCCCACATGTTGACATTGAAGGACCAGAAGGGAAAATCAAGGGTCCAAAATTCAAAATGCCCACCATATCTGGACCAAAACTTTCCATGCCTGATGTAGACTTCAATGTTAAAGGCCCTAAACTAAAGGGAGATGCGGATATCTCAGTTCCAAAGATTGAAGGCGACATTAAAGCACCCAAAGTAGACATTGAAGGTCCAGAGCTTGATGTGGAGGGACCAGAAGGCGGTTTCAAGATGCCCAAAATCAAAATGCCATCATTTGGATTTAAAGGGCCAAAAGTGGAGGGACCTGATGTTGATGTAAAACTGCCAAAGGGTGATATCGACATTAAAGGTCCCAAGATTGACGTTAAAAGCCCAGAGGTTGACATTGAAGGACCAGAAGGGAAAATCAAGGGTCCCAAATTCAAAATGCCCACATTATCTGGTCCAAAACTTTCCATGCCTGATGTAGACTTCAATGTTAAAGGCCCTAAACTTAAGGGAGATGTGGATATCTCAGTTCCAAAGATCGAAGGTGACATTAAAGCACCCAAAGTAGACATTGAAGGTCCAGAATTTGATGTGGAGGGACCAGAAGGTGGTTTCAAGATGCCCAAAATCAAAATGCCATCATTTGGAATGAAAGGGCCAAAACTGGAGGGCCCTGATGTTGATGTAAATTTGCCAAAGGGTGATATCGACATTAAAGGTCCCAAGATTGACGTTAAAAGCCCAGAGATTGACATTGAAGGACCAGAAGGAAAAATCAAGGGTCCCAAATTCAAAATGCCTACCATATCTGGTCCAAAACTTTCCATGCCTGATGTAGACTTCAATGTTAAAGGCCCTAAACTAAAGGGAGATGTGGATGTCTCAATTCCAAAGATTGAAGGCGACATTAAAGCACCCAAAGTAGACATTGAAGGTCCAGAGCTTGATGTGGAGGGACCAGAAGGTGGTTTCAAGATGCCCAGATTCAAAATGCCATCATTTGGATTTAAAGGGCCAAAGGTGGAGGGCCCTGATATTGATGTAGATTTGCCAAAGGGTGATATCGACATGAAAGGTCCCAAGATTGACATTAAAAGCCCAGAGGTTGACATTGAAGGACCAGAAGGAAAAATCAAAGGTCCCAAATTCAAAATGCCCACCATATCTGGACCAAAAATGTCCATGCCTGATGTAGACTTCAATGTTAAAGGCCCTAAAATCAAGGGAGACATGGATATCTCAGTTCCAAAGATTGAAGGTGACATCAAAGCACCCAAAGTAGACATTGAAGGTCCACAGATTGATGTGGAGGGACCAGAGGGCGGTTTCAAGATGCCTAAATTCAAAATGCCATCATTTGGATTTAAAGGGCCAAAAGTGGAGGGCCCTGATGTTGATGTAAATTTGCCAAAGGGCGATATCGACATTAAAGGTCCCAAGATTGACGTTAAAAGCCCAGAGGTTGACATTCAAGGACCAGAAGGGAAAATCAAGGGTCCAAAATTCAAAATGCCTACATTATCTGGTCCAAAGATTTCCATGCCTGATGTAGACCTCAATGTTAAAGGCCCTAAACTAAAGGGAGACATGGATATCTCAGTTCCAAAGATCGAAGGCGACATGAAAGCACCAAAAATAGATATTGAAGGTCCAGAGATTGATGTGGAGGGACCAGAAGGCGGTTTCAAGATGCCCAAAATCAAAATGCCATCATTTGGAATGAAAGGGCCAAAAGTGGAGGGCCCTGATGTTGATGTAAATTTGCCCAAGGGTGATATCGACATTAAAGGTCCCAAGATTGACGTCAAAAGTCCAGAGATTGACATTGAAGGGCCAGAGGGAAAAATCAAAGGTCCCAAATTCAAAATGCCCACCATATCTGGTCCAAAAATTTCTATGCCCGATGTAGACCTCAATGTTAAAGGCCCTAAAATAAAAGGAGACATGGATATCTCAGTTCCAAAAATTCAAGGTGACATTAAAGCACCCAAAGTTGATATTGAAGGTCCAGAGATTGATGTGGAAGGACCAGAAGGCGGTTTCAAGATGCCCAAAATCAAAATGCCATCATTTGGATTGAAAGGGCCAAAAGTGGAGGGCCCTGATGTTGATGTAAATTTGCCAAAGGGTGATATCAACATAAAAGGTCCCAAGATTGACGTTAAAAGCCCAGAGGTTGACATTGAAGGACCAGAAGGAAAAATCAAGGGTCCCAAATTCAAAATGCCCACAATCTCTGGTCCAAAAATTTCTATGCCTGATGTAGACCTCAATGTTAAAGGCCCTAAAATCAAGGGAGACATGGATATCTCAGTTCCAAAGATTGAAGGTGATATGAAAGCACCAAAAGTAGACATTGAAGGTCCAGAGTTTGATGTGGAAGGACCAGAAGGTGGTTTCAAGATGCCCAAAATCAAAATGCCATCATTTGGAATGAAAGGGCCAAAAGTGGAGGGCCCTGATATTGATGTAAATCTACCAAAGGGTGATTTTGACATTAAAGGTCCGAAGATTGACGTTAAAAGCCCAGACATTGAAATTGAAGGACCAGAAGGAAAAATCAAGGGTCCCAAGTTCAAAATGCCCACCATATCTGGTCCAAAGATTGCCATGCCTGATGTGGACCTCAATGTTAAAGGCCCTAAACTAAAAGGAGATATGGATGTCTCAGTTCCAAAAATTAAAGGTGAATTCAAACCACCGAAGGTAGATATTGGAGGTGTAGATGTTGATGTCGAGGGAAGGGTTCCAGAGATTAAAGGTGACATCAAAGCACCAAAAGTTGATATTGGGGGACCTGATGTTAACATTGAGGGACCAGAAGGAGGTTTCAAAATCCCCAAAATAAAAATGCCGTCATTTGGAGTTAAGGGTACAACAGTGGAGGGTACTGACATTGATGTAAATTTGCCAAAGGCCAATATTGACATGAGAGGCCCCAAGATTGACATAAAAAGTACAGATACTAAGATTGGTGGACTTGAAGGCAAAATCAAAGGTCCTGAAGTATCTGTTCCTGATGTGAATCTCCACCTTAAGGGACCAAAACTGAAGGGAGATGTGGATATGTCTGCTCCAAAGACTGAAGTTGGTATAAAGACTCCAAAGGCAGACATTGAGGGCCCAGATCTTAGTATTGAAGGGCCAGAAGGAGGTTTTAAGATACCCAAAATCAAAGTGCCATCCTTTGGAATAAGGGGCCCTAAAGTGGAGGGCTCTGACATGGACATAAATCTTGCCAAAGCTCAAGCTGACATAAAAGGACCAGGTATTGATATCAAAGCTCCTAAGATTACTGGCAAGGGCCCTGATATTGATAGCAGTCTAGAAGGCCAAGATGTGGAAATTAATCTCAAAGGAAAGAAGGATAAATTCAAAATGCCAAAGATGAAAGGGAAGATGAAAACGGACATTGACATAAATACCAAAACTGCTGAGTTAAATGTAGACTCACCTGACATGCACCTCAAGGGGCCCAAGGTAAAGAAGCCACTCTTTGGAAAACTCCATTTTCCTGGTGTGGAATTTGACATTAAATCCCCAAAAGGTAAAGGTGGTGGCTCAGTGTCTGGAACTTCAAAATCAGTGTCTGGTACATTAAAGGGAAGTGTTGAAGGTGGAGTTAAAGATCACACAATTGATGCTGAAGGTGTTAAAATAGAAGCAGGAACTCAGGATGTGGAGTTGAAGATGCCAGCTGTAAAGGTCAGATTACCCCATGGAGTTAGTACAGAACAGAAACAAGGAGAAATAGGAGTAAGTACAGATGCAGGAGTGTCTGGTAAAATGGAATGTCCTGAGGGTAATGTAAGCTTTCCTAAGATCAAAGTGCCAAAGTTTGGAATTGCTTTGCCTCAGGCAGAGGGAAGGGAGATAGGTGTTGATGTAGGTTCGGGAGAATTAACTGCTAGAACTGATGTTAGTTCACAGAGCCTGGAGATGCATAGTCCAGATGTGAAAAGCAGTGGTGGAAAAGTCAAAGTTAAAAAGCCAAGATTCTTTGGCAAGTCTAAAACCAAGGGTGGAAGTGCAGCTGATCTTACTTTTCAGGGACCTGAAATTGCATTCACAAGTGAGGGCGGTGCCAAGGTGTCTAAAGAGTTAAGTCTGAGTTCAGGGGAGCTGATAGGTGGCAAGATGGTAGAGGGGGGTTCTGGTTTGAAAATTTCACCAAAGAGTAAATCTGCTTCACTTGATCTTTACAAAAAATCAAGGCATCGCTCTTCTTCTCTGAGTGATGAAGGAGAACTAGCTTCCCCCACTTCTGTGGAAGGGCATTTACAGACAGAGGGTGGTAATATTTCTGTGGATGTTGGAGATGCTAAGGTGAAAGGCAAAAAAGGAAAGTTGAAGTTTGGCACATTCGGCGGGTTTGGCTCAAAATCCAAAGGTTCCTATGAAGTAACACTTGGAGATGATAGTGAAGCCAAGATAGAAGGAGCTAGTGGAGGTGATCTTCCTTTAAAGAAATCCAGAGTTTCATCATCATCTAGCAGTGATAGTGGTTCAAAGAGTGGTTTTCGTTTCCCACGAGTTGAAATAGCTGTTTCACCAAAGAAATAATGCATTGCGATACTATTAAAAGGCACTTATGTTCTAGCCATTATCTGTACTATCTGTTGGCATATTCTTCCATGTTTTAAGCTAGAAAGCTACTTTTTAAGCCTTACATAAATACAGTGCACTGTCATAAACAGACGCTTTAGGTTTGTTTCATTTCTTTACCACCCCCTCCCCAATTATTTTCTTTTAATTTTCATGGGGTACAGGTCATGTCTTTTGAACTCACAATTTAACTGTAAATAAGAGAAATCTGTATTGTAATTTTAAACGTCATTTGTAAATAGAAAAAATGAGCCTACTATCACATTTTAAATTCAATACCACAACAGATCACTAGTTGAAATTACATATCTGCATCTGGATTTAAACATTTTGTGATATTATATTTTTGTATTTTTTAACCTTTAAGGGGAAATGGTTTTGCAATCATCTGTCATAAATAGTGCCTTACTTGCTACTTACAAGAATGCCTGTTCACATATAAAGTTTCATGAAAATAAATAAATCAAATAAACTAAATGTTATATTTGAGATTTTATCATTTTGAAGCTTAAGATAAGTAATCAGTGCTGTATAGTACTTATAACATGAGTTAGTAAATTTAAAAGTGACAGTGCATTCAACTGCCACTTTATATATTAGGATTGTAAAAAAATGTAAATAAACAGCTTATGTAATAAAACACATGGAGGAGGGGCATGACTTTTTGTTACAAGTAAAACAAACACAAAAACTGTATCTCATCATTATGTAGTTTGTCCCAAGATCAGCTCCCTAGGTATTTATATCCAATTAGACTATTTTACTGAAAAAAAAAAAAAGATTAACAATCCAATGCACATCAAACCTACACAACAGACTATCAGTTATCAGCCATTACTGTTTCAATGAAAACACTTAGATATTTCTCTCGTTTTATTTTCAGTTGAATCTCTCTCTCTCCCTCCCACTCAACTGATTTTCATTCAGTGAAAGGCTGTGCTGAATTGTAAAAGAATGACTACAGACTTATTGAATAGGGCAATGCCCATATGGGACATTTATGCTACAAGTTTCTAAACTGTTACTTATTTTGTTTCCTGTGTCAGCTGCAAAACAAGCCAAATAAAGTGTTCAATTACTACTGTGTATGTGTGTTCAATACGTACAAATGTTCCTATGTTTTTAAGTTAAACAAATATACAAGTCTTACTTTATGAATGTGATCCAACAAAACTCTGTTCTCACTTCCACACCTACTCATCACATGTATGAGGAAACTGATACATGCTCAAGTCAGTCATCATCAGTACTTCAAACTGAGGGTTTTTAAAATGGCAGTAGAGCCAAGAAAACAGGAAATGATGCCTGGTTTCCTGGTTGTTCAAACCTAGCCATTGAGGCCAATGCTGAGGAAGGAACGAATTTCCTCTCTGGGAGGAAAATGCAATTCTTTTTAGTGTGCAAGTGCTTGCCAGTGGAGCAGAGCTTTGCAGAACAAAGGAGAACCCTGTTTGGATTCACTTAAAACTAAGAAAAGCCAATCCTAGTTAGACACATTTGCTGCTTTCTGTAACAGGGAATACTGACCAACACAGCGATTTTACTGTAAAATTTGAAAGGTAAGACCTAATTTTTCCTCTTAATACATCTCTTAGTACACAATACTTGTAAGGACCAATTATTTGCAGCGTTCTCATGAGAGAATGAATAAGAAACATTTTAATATTCTGCTCTTTATTATAATCAACACTTTTATTTATGAGAGCAAAGGAAAGAATACTAGGGAATTAATATTTATAAAAAAAATCAGTGTGGCTTTTTCTTGTTTAAAGTAACTAATGCAGGATGCAAATGTAATTAAAAGGCTAAATAGATTTAAGTATAAATTATGATAAAAAAACTATGTTACTTTCTTGAATTATGGGATCTGATGATTCTTTATTCTTTAAAATAAAGAAAACAGAGATAAAGCCCAATCATGGTAATTAATAACCTATGGTTTAATGGTAGTACAAGACAGTTTAAACAAGCTTCTAAAAAGATAGAAAGTTTGACTTTATTCTGAACTGTAGAGAATTTAAAAAGAAATCTTTAATGTTGGGCAGCTTTTTGTTGCTGTTTTGTTTCATTTTATGGCTATATTTTAAATCATACAAGCTTGGAGACAGCATGCACTGGTAAACATAATGGCTTAGGAAATGTCCATTAGTCAGCTGCAGGCATCTGTACACAGTCTAATATCTCCATAATGCCTTTTTCTCTATCTTATCTGATAAGATAAAGGCACATTTGCATTTCTTCATCTCTGTACTGGTACCTGCTGTTTTCTGTCTTGTTTTGTAGCTATGGAGAAAATCACAAACATAAGCAGTCATATGACTTTATTCTAGTTGCATTATTTATTCCGCAAATGTATTTCTATCCTAATTAATTACATTAGTCATACAAAATTTTATGGAAACATTGACAATTTTACCAATATTTGCATTTCCAGTTTTCAGTCATTTTATATTTTTGAAATTTGAAATTTTTATAAAGGGCAAAGAAAGTCATCATGGCACAAAATTTTAAGTGAGGTACAATTTTTATTTTGATTTTAAATGAAAAAAGGCATTTGTTTGCTGATAGTACAATGCCAGTCTGAACTGGCACCTCTTGCCTTAAAAGGAGCAGACAGTGTCCTTGATTCCTTCTGCAATTAAAGAGGTTATCATGAGCATGATATATTTCAGATTATGTCCATAAATTAAAATTTGATACAAGATACTGACTGCACCAGCAAGTTCAAATCCACGCTTGTTTCACTGTTTTATTAATTTGCCTGGTGAACATATTAATATTATTCATGTGTCACATATGGCTCCACAGTTCCATTTAAAAAATGAGAGTGTATGAGTTACTTCTGACCCTGAAAGGCACACTGCATATGAAAGCCTGTGGCTAGACTGTACCACTTAGCACAAAATGTAATATACTGTAAACATGTATTACAGATTACCTGGAAATCCATTCATATCCACACACACACACACATTATCTAAACCGCTTATCCTTCTGGGTCGCGGGGGGGTGCTTGAGCCTATTCCAGCGGTCATTGGGCAGAAGGAAGAATACACCCTGGACAGGTCGCCATAGCATTTTAGAAACAGCTGTAAGACATTTATCATGCTAAGTGAGGCACTTTTTTTGTTATGGTTGTTGTTATTGACAATGAAGTGACAAAATTGCTTTATTTCTCATTTAAAACAAAATAATCTTCATTGATCCTTATCAACAGTACGCAGAGGATAATAGCTTTACATAAATCAAAATAATCAATAGCAGGCCGTTCCCAAATTAAGAAGTGTCAAGTGTACAATTTGTATGAGTCTTATGGTTAAAACAATGCTAAGCTAATGATGCACAAAACAAGCAATGAAATTAAAACAGTGGACTTTCAGAGAAACATCAAGCGGTAAATAAGCAAGGTAATACTGCTCTCATGAGCCTACAGTCATAACAGAGTAGATCCAAACAAAAGGAAATCCATCCATCCCAGACACGTGCCCTCTACTCCCTGCTGTTCCCTGCATAAATTACCTTAAATAATGCATCAAGCTACCGAGATGTCAAATATACGCTATCTGTAATTAAACCTTTTCACACAGCCAGGAGTGAAAAAATAAGAACTACCAGATGTACCTAATGTTTTTTAATGATCTAAGTTGACAAAAATGATTTTCTACATACAATTGCATGCAAATGTTTGAATACCCCTGGTTAAATAACATGTTTTGTTGATTTTAAGTTAAATATGGTATTTTCATGATATACAGGAAATATAAATGCTACATTATGATTAATACAACTTTTACAAAAGAATTGTTTTTCATTTTTTGTTATTTTATGTTATGTTTATTACACAGCATTGTAGAATAAAACATATTGGAAACAAATAACATATATAAAATGTGCCAAACAGACGATATTAAATTTGAAGTTTTATTTTTATATTTTAATATGTTAAAAATACAAAAACTTTTATTTTATTTTTTTTTCATTTTTATATTTTTAAAATCTTCCTAAAACCTGGTAATCCACTTTTGTTGTCTGGAGGACGTGTCCCCAAAGGATATTTCAAAAACCCTATAGGATACAGTGCTGGTGCACCATATAGAGGACATCCTGGCCTTTCCAATGGTACATCATTTGTTGGGGGGTTTCATTCACAACAGGAGTTCTGCGGCTGCCATTTCAGCAACCACATTTAAATGCAAGAGAAGTGACTAGTTGAGAAATATGCGTTTATGATGTTTCTGAAGTCTTTAGTTGATATGTTTTAGGTAGAAAAATGTTTTCAAAGCAATTTTTTATTGATATGCATAAACGTTTAACCACGTAACAACATACTTTTTTAACGTCCTCTTGGTGGACATGGGAACTTACTAAATCTGTTTTTATATGAAATTCATGGTAGCACAGCTGACAGGAATTTGACTTAGGCAGAGAAAATTAAAAGATGCTCACAACTCTCTTGATCTAGTTTGGGTTAGAGCAATAACATGTAAGCTTAGCAGTTAAATTACTGTGATATAACTATATTTTTTTTCTTTTTGGTGTGCTGGGGATCTGAACCTTATTTAATTTCCTAATTTATTAGAAAATCGCCTTTTACATAAACATTAAAATAAAATTAATTCTCTTCCCTCTCCGTTTACACCTAAGATTCATCCCTACCATAGAACAGAGCTTGCTGCTAAATGACAACACCCAAAGCCGTACTGACTGGATGCCCTGTCATTAATTTGAGCAGTACATTGATGACAAGGGTTTTGAAGTGGTTGCTGAAGTTGGTCTGATGCAGAATACAAACAAGAAATATGACATCAACATAATTTTTTTGCAAGGTCCTGTTGTCCACTACAAAGGACATTACATAAAGATTGAATTAAAAAGGTGTTTTTGAAAAAAAAAGTTACAGTATTCTTTCAGCCAGACTTACACTGATCAGGCATAACATTATGACCACCTCCTTGTTTCTACGCTCATTGTTCATTTTATCAGCTCCACTTACTATGTAGGTACACTTTGTAGTTCTACAATTACAGACTGCAGTCCATCTGTTTCTCTGCATACTCCAGCAGCACTGCTGTGTCTGATCCACTCAGACCAGCGCAACACACACTAACACATCACCACCACATCAGTGTTACTGCAGTGCTGAGAATGATCCACCACCCAAATAGTACCTGCTCTGTGAGGGTCCATGGGAGTCCTGACCACTGAAGAACAGGGTAAAAGGGGGCTAACAAAGTATGCAGAGAAACAGATGGACTACAGTCTGTAATTGTAGAACTACAAAGTGCACATTTATAGTTAGTGGAGTTGATAAAATGGACAATGAGCGTAGAAGCAAGGAGGTGGTCATAATGTTATGCCTGATCGGTTTTCATCTTAAAATTACTGAAATTCTCAAACTTGTTTCTGGGTCTCAAGAGGATATGCTAAATACAACAAACAGTCATTATGTATGAAACTGTGCAGAAGTGTGTTCTCTGTAGAGGATGTGTTAACTTGTTTTCACTTAGAAAATCAAATAAATATGTAATTTAACCTGACGGGGGGCACTTAAACCTTTGTATACACTGGGTCTGTGTAAGTACCTCTCACATAAGAAAGATATGCTTACTTCATTTTATTCTGGTTACTATATTAAAATAATATTTGATAACTGAGATGGCATACATTGCAGCATGTGTGTACAAAATCAACAGCTCTTAATAATATGGAAATTATGTAACATAATGATCTATGTCCATTTTCGATAGTAAGTCTGTGTCTATTTTCTCTAGTTCTGGTTCATGAACCTTTAAAATGGAATTACTTCATATGTATTATGTGATCACACTTTGCTAACATTTCCAATTTAGTGTGAAAAATTTTGCCAGGGGTTTAAAGCTCCTCTATCCCACAAGAGAATAAGATGGTCAAGTTCTTCCCAATACATACTGTTCTTCAACAGAGCCCACTGATTTTAAAGGAGAGCCGTTCTTATATTTTCAGGCCTGACAGTAGAACAGTCAACAGCACATTAATAAATCATTGACTGTACCACTGGTATAGGAATACCAAGTGCTTGTGTGCAGAAGTAGATGATAAACTCTGGGATATATTGTGCTGCACACTGAAATATTTTTAAGAGTCTGCATGTAGCCATATCCAGTCTGCAACAGAACACTATGCCACACTATGCAATTTTTTTGTTAAAACTGAAGTAGCATTACTGAGGCAGGAAAAAAGAAAGACACTGAAATATGGTGTTGGTGCTCTGATGTGAGTCTCCCTGTAAAGCCTGAAATAATCATTTTAAAGTCAGAGGTGTCGGGTTGGATTTAAGACCATGTCATATGTCTTTATGCATTAATGTCACACGCACAGACTCTAAAAGAAGGTCTGCCTCGATGTTTAGGTCTCAAATGCAAAATGAACATTATACTGATGAAGGTATGATCACAATAGTAGATAATACACCAAGACCACCAAGTTTGGACTGGAATACTCTTTCAATGTCCTCACAATCATCAGATTCATCTGCTCGGGGAAGGGATCCAAAGCACAACTGACGTTACAAAATTTAAAGAGATCCGTTTTCAAATGTTTCTTGAAAGCATGTACTGAGCATGTCTATCTAATAAAAAATGGAATTGACTTCCATTTTTTAGAAGCATAATAACAAAAAGACATTTTCTGTATTTTACAGAAGGTATTTGCAAAAGGCCAGTATCTGCAGATCTAAGATCTGCTGGTATGCAGGAACTAGGCCATTTAGAGCTTTAAAACCTAGTAACAGAACTTTAAAATCTATGCAAAAAGATATAGACGGCCAGTGAATTTCTTTCAAAACAAGTATGATATGAGCTCTTTTTTGTTTTTGTTAGGATACTGTGCTGTTGCATTTTGTTGTATTGTTTTCTTAGGATTGCACATTAAACGTTTCCACCAGAGTGGTCTTCAGGCCCTCAAACCTTACATAGAATGGCTTTAAAATAAGGATTGTGAGTCTGAGATTGCATCCTGATATTGTTCCAGAATTTTCGTGGAAAAGGACTTGTGTTGGCTGTTAAGTACTGCACATATGGTAGCTTCAAGTTGCTTCAACGTAACTATAAAAACAACAGTTAACAATAGACAAATCCTGCACATTTGTTCCAACGGCTCAATGAGAATGTGAAATTCCTCCCTCTTGATTCGTTATAGTTTATTGAAATAATATGGCAGGCCAAGCAGAGCCATTGTGTCATGCTCCAGTGTCCAATGGCATACCTAATGTCATCGGTATGGATTGCAGGCAGTTGCTTTAACACTACACAGCTTTCCCTACAATTTCAGAACCTGAAAATCTTAACAAGCTTCTATATCACTCATCACTCACACAGAAATTCAGTATTTTTTGTGAAACAATTTCTACTCTGTATCACTGCACGGTGGTGTGGTTTGTTTATTTAACATGAGCTGCATGTGACAGACAGTATAGTCTGCATGAATTTGTTTGAGGAAGCCAGTGGAAGCACAGCCCATAGAACCTTACTGAAGCCATCACCAAATTTATGGCCGATTCACTGAAGCAAAAATCATAACTGTACAAAATACTTGTACAACAGGCTTTTGGGTTCTATCTGGACACTAGGCTCCACTTGGAGTCACTGAGAATATTGTCAGTGCTTTTTATGGATTCAAATATTTCAACAGTTAAAATCTAACTATTCTAACTATTGAAGCATATCAAAATTAATAAGAAAATATTTGAGTTTGAGTTTACATTTCCCACTCATTCGTGCAAGTTTGAGTTCAAAAAGAAAATTCAAATTCAGTAACTCCATTTACATTTGCCATTTGATATATTACTACTGATATTTCATTTACACAGAGATTTGGACACTTCAGCTTTATTTAAATTAAAATGTATTTCCTAAACTGGATGATTATGAAATAATGGTGTCAAAATGAATATTAAAATGCTACTCACCTAATATGCATTTGTACTCAGTAACAATGCGATTCAAATGTAATTATCAAACTCACCACCAAGCTAGCAAAATAGCAAAATTCAAATGTTAAAGGGGAAACAGTATGGATGCATATCAGTATCAAAATTAAAATGAAAATGTAACATGTAAAATGGTGATGTATTTGAATGTTTGCATCTAAATTTCCCACTCATATATGCAATATTAAGCTCAAAATGAAACTTCAAATTCAGTACTGCGATTTTAAATTGCCATTTGGTATACTAGTATTGACATCTCATTCACACAGAGATTTGGATGCTTCATGAGTATCTTCATTTAAATTAAAACATTTCCTAAACTGGATGAATATGTTTCATGTGATTATGAAATAATGGTGTCAAAATGATAATTGAAATGCTATTCACAAAATATGCATTTGTACTCAGTAACAATGCATTTGAAATTTAATTATCACACTCACCACCAAGCTAGAAAGATTGCAAAATTCAAATGTAGAAATGGGAAACTGTGCCTCTTTGCTTTGCAACATTTTCTCGCTACTGTGCTCATTCTGTGGCAATCTTGCGGCACATAACGTTATTCTAAACAGATAATTACATTAAATTGTTCAAAATGATGTTATTTCATCCCAGAAAGTGTCAAGACACAACCTAAGATGCGAAAAAATTGGTCAACTTGTCTTGTCACATATTTTAAGACATACTGAAGAAAAAAAAAACTTGTTAAAGATCATAAACGAACATCAAGTGTAAATTTGCAGTTAAAAAAAGTGTCTCTTCTGACTTTGGAACTAAATGTTTAGTCGTCACCTAGGCTGATTTTTTTCTACATGGTTTTCTGCATTGATAGATTGAGCCTGTCTCCCATGGGACCTCACCAGATGAGGAGACTGTGGAGCGCATGTGTATGTCTGTGTGCATGTGTGTGATAGAGGATGTGAGTGAGAGCGAGAGAGAGAGAGAGAGAGAGAGAGACGGAGCAAGTGTGGGTGTGCATGTGTGCAAGCATAAAAGAGACAGGCAGAGTATAACCCAGAGCAAAGAGGATGCTGCTGCTTCTGGAGGAAGACAGTGCTAGTGCTGCTTTTCCTTCCTGTGCTACATGATCTACTCAACTAAGATTTGACCTCTGCTTCGTTACCATCTCTGCTCAACATCATCGACGGCTGGAAAGTGGGCAGGGCTTGTGGGAGTGCTCTTCATTTTGGCTTATTTTCTGTGTGCCCACAGAGCCACGGAATGACAGAGGGGAGGAAAGAGGGCGATAGAGACAGAGTACATCATGCATGTGCTATAACTGAGCACCAGGAGCAGTAGACAGAGTTAGAAAGGGGTGGGGGGGGTTAGAGAAGAGAGAGTAAGCTCAGACAAAAGCTGCAGACTGTTCCCTCACCGACCACAACCAGCAACAAAGACAAAAGAAGGAAAGCTGCTGAAGCTGAGGCTTAGGCTCTTCGCCTCGTTACTGCCAGGATTCCATGAGCCACGAGCATCGCGCTGAGGGCAAATAGGATGTCGGTGTCAGGGAAGAAGGAGTTCGACGTGAAGCAGATCCTCAGGCTTCGCTGGCGCTGGTTCAGTCATTCCTCGCAGACCTCAGCTGGCAATGGGGGCTATATTCAGCAAGAGGGCTTCGACCACCGAGGTACACCGGTCCAGAGCCGACTGAAGAGTCACTCCCGGGACAGAGGGGGACTTCGCAAGAGCAACAGCCCAGTGCACAGCATTCTGGCTCCCACTCCCAGCCCCACACCTGTCTATGTCAGGCCAGGCAATCAATCATGGCACCAGCAGAACATCATCCAGCATCTCCAAGCCAGCGAGGACTCTCCAAAGAACAACTCGCCCACCAGCGCCAGGAAAGAGGACAGCAAGAGCAGCCAGGAGCATGTGAAGAGCAACCCACAGGAGCCCTCCGAGGAGGAAGCCACAGACAGGTAAAAAAAAGCTCTGAGCAGAAATAGAAACACCGAGCATACATGTGAAGATGTGCCTGCAGCTGTCAGCTAACGTCACAGAGGAACCCGTTAAGTTATGCTTGTAGGCATGAAGCACAGGTGCAGTTTTTTCCCCAAACGCCAGAATTTAATCACATGCCGTAATGAACTGACTGACTGTACTGGGCTGAGAAAGTTGAATGATAGAGCTATTATTACAACACTGTGCGGATTTACAGTAAGCCTCACCGAGAGTCAGCCTTGAGTGGTTTAACCAGCATTATGTAGAGACTACAGTATTAAACCGCCACTTTACTCAAGCTGATTATGCCAGTCACGTGCACACTAATCACAGGGTTTGTTTTATTCTCATTTGCTATGTTTACTACTCAGCAGCACTACTAACATGTTGGCTTTGTCCTCAGAGGATATCATTTTCCAATCAACTCCACGACGCAGCTGCCACCACTGCTCACCTGGGGATAGTTCATTCACATGGCACGCGCAGCGTAGAAACACAGCTCTCTGAAATATCCCAGGATAAATTATTCATTAGGCAGACATCTCGCTGGCAACCGCTGAGGCAGACCAGGCTTGTGCTTTTTTATCACACAGATAACACATACTGTAATATACAGCGTCATTCATGGGGAGTTTTACCCTGCATTTTCATAACCTGCAGCGGGAATATTTCAGTGCATGTTAATGCATTCATGCTCAGAGTTTTAAATGTTGCAGAGAGAGCACTATTACACTGGAGACCGCTGGTGCAAGAGCTATAAAATTGCGAAGGGCAAAAACATGAATTATCTATACATGGCATGATATTTACGTATAAGTGCAGTTCAAGGAAAGACGGCATTAAATTTGCCAGTCGATCGAAATTTACGAGATTATAAAGCCACGCTTCCGTTGCTGCTTATATTCATCCCCTAAGTGCTTTGTCTTCAGGAGAAAATACCTGCTTGTTTTCCTTCTTCAAGCGACTCTAGTGCACTGTGTCTCATGTAAGGTCACAACATGCTTTGGTAGGAAGTAAACACGTTTCTCTCAGAGAGGAAAGAGACTGGCCTGCAAAACAAATCTGGCTTCCTTGCCCTGTCTTATGAGATCTCAGGACAAGTGCCTAAGACAGAAAGCTTTGAAATGCATCATATCAAACAGCCATATGTATATATTAAGCACTTAAAAAGATAAAGCGTGCCTCAGTGCATGCCCAAGTACAGCAACACTTGACTGAGAACTTGTTACGTGTAACTGCAGTCAGAATACTATAATTTGCTACAAACTGAGACAGTGACATTTCAAACTGCATTATGAATTGAGCAGCAGAGGCTTGGTGGTGTAACTACTTGAGCCAGTGCCCAGGCGCAAACATAAACACAACAACTGTAGCATAATAATCAATGGTAATTGAACATTTTCCTTTTTAAAATCATAGGCTTACAACACATGTACACTTTGTACAATAGTTGCATACTTACTCATTTGAGGCATTCTCCTTCTGAATAGTCCTCATTAAACTACCTTCCATGGTAGTGTAGCTTTGGTTGTGATAATCAGCTCTACAGGCTACCTGTAAGAACACACAGGCTAATATCAGCAAGGTCAAATACACTTTATTCTAACTGCAATGACCTGCATTTGAAAAATGGTAGCCTGTAAGCTTGGCAGACTTGCTGGGTCAGGTGGAGCAACCAATACAAGCTATTACCTTCTCCTTGACCATGAGGATTTTTTTTACCCCTTGACCTAGATATACTTGCCAGTGTACCACTGAAAACTGCGTATTTGAAACCATGATGAGAAGACTTTCAAAAGATGAGCAGGGGAATCTTCTCAAATCAATATTTGTAATGTACCGTTCTGTATTTAAAGAGCTTGACATTTTAACCTTTCCTTATAGTGCATGCTTAATAGGCAAAGAGGCACTTTCAAATTCAATCAATTAAGATTACTTAAACATTTAGTGATCCACCTCTGGGTTATATATATTTACCAGAAATGGTCTTTGCAACTACGATGGCCTGACCCTTTAAAAGCGCATGGTTATTACTACAATGGCCTAAAAGCCTACATGGTGTTAATGGCCTTCACTGTTGATTGATACAGTCTTATGAACCTCACCACAGAAAATGCCATTACATCAGTGGTATTAAAACAAGCACCCTAAAAGCTTCACTACTCAACAGAATGGACAGATGGGAACTCTTTAGCAATGTAAAATCTAATCTAATTTAATATTATTTAACAACAAGAAACAAGAAATTACAGAATAATACTTAAATTCTGACTATTTTACATTTTATGTATTTTATATCTTATGAAAATATGATACACTCGATATATTGTTGCGCTGCATGTGTTTTATTTTGTTTGTTGTTTATCCATGTAGGTACACTGTGATGGAAATGAGGCCACAAAGGCAATTCAATATGTCTCCAGTGTACACACACTAAGTGTGTGATTTATTAACAAAAGCATGACCATCAGGTCTCTCGCCACACTGTTTCACCAAGAGACTGAAAATAACGACCCACTGAGGGTCTGCTGAAATAAGTAGCCAGTGAAATGTGCTCCTATGCCATTAGCTGCTTATATGTGAAAGCAAATTGAGAAGGCAGCTTTAGTGCATTGATACATTTCTGAACTGAATGTAAATAGGGCTGATGCCTTCTTTAAGATTACCTGGAATCAGACCAAGGCAGTAAGACAATACCCATGCCATGGGGTTCAATATTTGCAAACCACAAATCTAAATTACAGTCCTGAGAAGATGCTTGGCTGAAGTACTGCATAAAAAGTGATAGTCTGCAGGACTGAGGGGAGGTTGTAATACCACAAAATGTTAATGATAACAGCCTCTTTTATTTTATAAATCTAATGGCAGAATACAGACAACAGAAAGGTATTCGTTCTTTTACACAGGAGGGAGCCTATCAATAGTCCCACTTAACTTTAACAACTGTACAGTTAGCAATATAGTCCATCCTTCCTATAAGCCCCTGTATTAATTAGCTAGCAAAGTGTTGACAGTCACAATAGGGCAAATTAGAACATTCCCAATAATTTTAAAGGATGTTTTTGAGTCCGTCTGAAGCATGCTAGATTCATTCAGTTGACTTAGTAAAAGAGATTCAGAGCTCTCATACAGGGTTTAAGCTTGATGATTTCCAGATCAGTTAAAATGTGTTGACCAATGGGTTTTAGTAAAAGCTTGCTCTCTTAGGCCTGGCCCACACTGTGGCTGTGTTAAAACAAAGTACAGTACTTCACAAAAGTAGCATTTTCTGCTTCCCACAATCTAAGTAATCACAAACACATTCAGAGATGTAGTCTGTACTCTGGTGTGGTCAGTCCATTGTTCTGAGAACATCAGAAGCTTCTTTGTTCGATTTGCAAATTTTCTTCTTCTTTGTGTATTTCCTTTTCTCAGTAATGGCTTCTTGACAGTTACACATTCTTTCAGACCCACAGCACTGAGTTGTCTTCTCACAGTGGAAGGATGGACAGAAACACCTGTGGATTTTTTTTAGATCTGAAGCAAGAGTGGAGCTTGATTTTCTCATATCTCTTAAAGTTAAAAGCTTTAAGTATTTTTTCTGATGATAGTGGTCTAATAGGTCTTGCATGGTTGTTAGGAGTCCCATTTTCTCTGTATCTTTTAATATTTTTCTTTCACTCTAGTTTTGGAAACTCCTGTTTTTCCATTTTACCCTCTCCCTTGTAGAGACTGAATACCTTATATCTAATCACTTCAGAAATATCTCCTGAGAAACGATTAACTTGTCCTCAATGGCCATTTTGACCGGAAATTAAATAAAAGAAGGGTGGTCTCTGACTTTTGACAAGAATCTCTGTTTAAATCCTTTTGTGGCAGTAAATTGCTAGGAGAAATAATGACAAATATCGCTCAAGAAGTAGGGCCAAGTGCACAGTGTTTATTATCCAAGCAATATTGCAATGCTTGAAATCCATAGGTAACCATGCAGTAATCTGCTAAGCCAAATGTGGTATGTTCTAATAGTAATATCTAATAGTACACTGTAAATGTTAGAATGACTCTGAGATGATACCTGAACAGAGTTCACCAGATTTACAGCCTTAAACTGGTTTGACTCTGTTGTGAAGCATCACATAATAAATTAAATATTCTGGTGAAGAAATCAATTTGGATTCCACCTTGAAACAGTATCACCATGGCAATTCATAAAATATGCTGAGTACTACATTTAGAATGTTTCTGTCGATCTCTTACAGTATCCCTGCCAGGGTTCAGGCCTGGGCTTCATGAATTATTCAGCATGAGTTATTCAAAGTTTTTAATGCTATTTTTCTTTCTTAGAGGCAGAGAAAAGAAGAGGGTGAATGCAGTGTATGCTAATACAACCAAGGATAGAGGGAGTGTGGCTGGTCAGCTTCAGGGCAAAATGTAGTAGAGGTTGACTCTCAGCTCCTACAGCACATATATAGTGGGTGGAATGCAGATGTGATCACTAGAATTGTCATGTTCTTTTGACCTTAGGGTCACTTGTTACAGATTGGGGCATATTAAGTAATGATCATTGAGAAAGACAATATCTTTTTGGTTTATGAGGCTGATAAAACTGCGGCGCATCTGTTAAAGAGAGGTTCATGGGATGCACAATCAGCTTTTTAGTTAACCCTAAATGGTGCCATTTGGATGGAGTTAAGGGCAGTAGCTTATGATGATTCTTTAGATACATGTTCCATGGTTGCTGAGCAGATGTGGTCCTGACAAAGAGATTCACACCAATTTGCAGTGCCAGCTGGGTTTTCCCATTTAATTTCACATCATAAACCGGAGATGCATAATTTGTCATAATCTTGAATATGAGCCTCAGTAGGAGATGTGATAAATTTTCCTTTCTATTCATGCTAATAAGCTCTGTTCCCTCTCAAAATGGCCTCATAGTACCCTTGGGGGTGCACCCGTTAAAAGCACTGCTTAGCAGGACAGAGGTGAACTCTGCCATTGA